ATGAAAGATGGTGACAGCATTATCAGAACTGTCAAAAACGTGATGAGACCACAATGCTACAAAAGATGGTGACCAAAATGCTATGAAATAAGGTGACAGAGCTATGTTAACTGTCAACATGGTGACCACAATGCTATGAAATAAGGTGACAGAGCTATGTTAACTGTCAACATGGTGACCACAATGCTATGAAATAAGGTGACAGAGCTATGTTAACTGTCAACATGGTGACCACAATGCTATGAAATAAGGTGACAGAGCTATGTTAAATGTCAACATGGTGACCACAATGCTATGAAATAAGGTGACAGAGCTATGTTAACTGTCAATGGTGACCATGCTATGAAATAAGGTGACCACAATGCTATGAAATAAGGTGACAGAGCTATGTTAACTGTCAACATGGTGACCACAATGCAAGGTCAAATGGTGACAGAGCTATGTTAAATGTCAACATGGCCACCACAATGCAAGGTCAAATGGTGACAGAGCTATGTGAAATGTCAACATGGCGATGTTAAATGTCAACATGGCGACCACAATGCAAGGTCAATATGTTAACAACCTGTCTGATGGTGAAGGACACTGACTACAGACTGGCGGTGTTAACACAGATCAGCTGTCACACATCCCATCCTCCCTCCAGCAGAACATCATCACTACACTGAGTGTCTGTAATATTGCACAAAGACGGAACATACAACTGTTCTGTTGCTCCACCTCTGCACACAGAGCACGTCCTGTCACATAACTCAACACACTACAGACAACACTGGATGAGAAGCAAGTAAACCAAATTATCCACTCATATAGAAATGTTAGTACCATTTGTTAATACACCAGTCATACCTTGTTATCTCAAATATTGGTGTCCTTGAAACAAAACAAATCAAGGTATCAGACAGATCAACGATATCATTTTCAACAAACACAATATAGAAGGATGGGAAAATTTCCTTCGCTTTATAATATTATCAAGATGATTGGGTATAGTATTAATCATCCAGCCCATGTGAAGTAAAAACATAGATGACATTATTTATTAGGCCTTTTTTAACGATTTGATTCAAGACCAGCCATCAAGAAATACTAAAAGAGTGGAAGAGTGAGTTGGGTTTTACACCACTGTTAGCAATATTCCAGCAATATCACAGCGGGGGACACCAGAAATGGGCTTCACACAATATACCCATGTCGAGAATCGAACCTGGGTCTTCAGCTTCACGAGCGAAAACTTTAACCACTAGGCTACCCCACCGCCCCAGAAACTGGAAGAAGAAACATGACCTGAAAGCATCCCAGTTCAATTCCAGTTTCCGACACAACATCAGTGTTATGACTGCTACTACATCTTGTTTGGATGTATCTCAGCAGCCTTGTAGTAATATCATGGCTGATGACATCAAGAACACAGAGGACTTTGTACCTGCATGTATTTAGAACCTGCCTATTTGGCTGTGTAAGTGAAGACTTAACCAACTCACTACCCCAAGCCTAATCTTACAGAAGACACACATAAAAGCAATTTTGGGATCAATGAAGTGTTTCAATGTACTGGGGCATTTGAGTTTATGTAATCTGAGATAACAAGGTCCAGCTGTAGATGATAAAAACACAAAACAGGAACAGTATAATATAACCAAATATTTGGGTACATCTGTCATAAAATAATAAATACTTGTGTGTGAAGGTGGAAATACAAGTGAATCAAGTACTATTTTCATCAACATACATGCCTTTATGTGAAAAATTCTGAAATACTTATGAAAATAGAGGTTAAAAGTCACATGAAAAAATAAATGAGAAACATTCCATCAAATAAAATACAGAAACAAAATATCAAATTGTTACATTTCAGTATATGAAGACCTGAAGCAGTCTCCTGCAGTGGACATACATGCTGGCTGTACAAATACTGGACATCACTAAAGGGTTCAAGTGCCAAAACACTCTTCCTCTCAAAATATTCATGCCTTCAAATTGATGTGAATAGTTTGTGAAAAATGTTGCACCAGTTTAAGAAATATACAGCTATAATGTTAAGCACAAATGGAGAGCCATTGTTTTCTAAATTAGGGCAAAAAGCTTTAAAAGTGAGTTGAATTTACATCTGTATTGGATATTATCAATGTGATCATTTTAAATTAGTTGGCTATATGTCTAAAGCCATACACTACCTCTCACTACAGGTACATAATATATTAGGGACTTTTTATAAGTACACAAGTAACTACAAGCATATTGACAAGTCTTTGGTATAATATCAAATCAGTGATTGCACCATTGTTCTCATCACAGCTTACTGGGTCGCTACTTCGATTAGATACTTCATAACTACAGTCCAAGGTGTACAAACCAACAACAAAATATGAAAACACAACAAAAAAACCAAAACAAAATACAGCAACATTTTGCAAAATTGTTAGTTTAAAAACAGGCAGGTAGGAAAACACTGGTCTCTTCACAGCCAACTAATTCCTTGTCCTGAACTAAAAAATTCTTCATGTTGAAAACAACCCTTCCCCTCACATGTACATCGTTACTTCATCCTTTTCTTCAATACTAAGGTAATACCCCATCACGCCGAACTCTGTATCTTAGTCAGGGAACTCCTCACAGAGATTTTCAATATCAACTTGGCCCTTCATTGTCACATACTCTGGTTCATGCAACACACTGACAAATAACATCAGCTCAAACCATGAATGACTAGAACCATTATAGAAACTGATAAACAAATATACTGTTATTGCACTGCGACTCACCCAGTACATATAAAATTTCCCAGAAATTACATTCCTGGACATTTAAGTACATATAACAGAGAACAGCTCTTCACAGAGATTCATCTTTCATGAGAAAGCAACTGCCTAGTTTAGTGAACATTTCAATTGTTTCATTTCGTCCATGAGACCACTAAATAACACATACCTTAAATTACACAAAAAATACAGAAAATCTGTAACAAAAATTTCCTACAATTATGTTTAATGATAAAAACAAGTTTGTAATCACACTTCAATGATGGTGTGACCTACGAGTTCATATTTAGCAGTACCAATTAGGAATTTGAAAGTTCACCTGTTTTGGAGAAGAAGTTTAAAGTTACAGACGACAACTAGGTGGAAGATGGGCAATGATTAATGTCATAAACTCTGGGATTTTTTGAGCTGATGAGCTACAAATTAACCCCCAATCAATTCTTCCCAACATAACCCATCCACAGGATTTATTTTATTGCTCAGAGTCTATTTTCATTATTTTATAAGACAGGCCTTCTGGTGCAAAGCTATCTTGCTGGTTCAACATACAGGCAAATTGGTCAGATCAAGGAGAGGTTTTGAAGGGTGACGATGATGAAAATGTCAAAATAATTCAGACCTTGCAGTGCAAGCTAAAGGTATTGTTTGGAGGAAATAAATAGAAATATGTAGTTTGACTGACTGAGTTATTTTTAGCAGCTTGCATGTATGAAATGTCCATGTGCCCACGAAACTTCCGCTGAGGAGCCAACACTAACCATTAGTACAAGTTTGAAGGTAACATAAGCAGTAACACCATGGCACAATGTCTCCAGATCTAACTAATGAAGTACATGTACATCCAAACAGATCGTAAGGAAGCAAGCAGAAACTCATACCCTGGAAGTTCATTCTACTCCAAGTGTCAATCATTAACTGAAGACTAAAACTTCAAATAGCATCATATCAAGATTGTCATGACTGCAAAACATTGCTAACAATAAGTACGCACACATAAAAAAATATTCCCTTCATTTAAACCTGATACTTTTGTCTTAAACAACTAAACACTATATGGAAATGCATGGAAATTAATTCTTGGGGAAATTGCAAGTTTCTTATATAATCTCTGAATATTTACAATGTTGTATAAATTCTGAAAGAAAACTGGCAGTTTGTACTAGACTAATTATATATCTAACTACTTCAACACTAATGAGCACAACCATTGCCATGGGGAATATCACATTGTCAATAAAAATACACACTAATTGCAGCATTATGCTTTACGGTCATCAAAATTAATTTTCAAATGACTAGGTAACCTAGCTATTCTCTTCTTTCAAACGAACAATTTGCTCAACCATGTTGCCATAGTTAAGCCCCAGCTCCATCCCACCACATGCCACCTTTGCAACCCTCCCGTATTCATCAGAGTATTGAGAACAAGGAATGAGGTATCACTGTGAGGAGCTTGAGTTTAGGCAAGGAAAGACAACTGTTCTGAAACAATCAAGAAATTCATAAACAAATAATATTAAAAAACCTGACTTTTTTCCCTCTAAAAAGAATTTTTGAATAATTTTCAGTAGCTTTTATTTTTTAACTTTTTCACCGACTTAGATAGCCATGTTTTGCATGAGAATCTAGATAATTTCTGTCACAAACTTTGAGTCATTATCTGCAGTTTGCGCCAAAACCAGTCCAGTGAGTATGAGGCATATTCTAAACTGAAGCCTTATTACAGAGCTATACAGATCAAGTGGAGCTGTCTTGACCACTATTTCCACTTGACTAACCTTACTGACAAGATCAGACATCTTGAAAACATTGCAATATATATTTTTAAGTTGATCATAACTGAAACTGGTATCGTGGTATTTGTAAGTTAGTACACTGTGGTAATGTTAACTGAAATTCCGCACACATTTATGCAAAAGTAGTTGTTAGAAACTGACAAGAACAACAATAGCAACACAGACTCTTCAAATGAAGGCTATGTTCAAAACGAACTTCAATCTCTGGTAAACTGGGAAATGTTGGGCTGGGGCTGTTGCATATACATAGGTGGCACACTTTGTTTCTGGCCTAGTAGTGAGTGAGTGAGTTAAGTTTTACGCCACACTCAGCAATATTCCAGCTATATGGCGGCGGTCTGTAAATAATTGAGTCTGGACCAGACAATCCAGTGATCAACAGCATGAGCATCGGTCTGCACAGTTGGGAACCGATGACATGTGTCAACCAAGTCAGCGAGCCTGACCACCCGATCCCGTTAGTCACCTCTTACGACAAGCATAGTCGCCTTTTGTGGCAAGCATGGGTTGCTGAAGACCTATTCTACCCAGGATCTTCACGGGTCTCAGGTTTAGTAACTACAGGGAAATCTACTCTCAAACATCTGTAGAGTGATTCAGATTACTGAATGATTGTGACAATCCATCTTAAAACAGGCACAGAGCCAGATTAAATAACACCGCTACAAGTGTTGAAAGCATTGAACAGTGAAATTTGTGTCCTTATTCGCTGTTAAATGACTTACCATACATTATAAGTGTGGTCTGTAAAACAAGTCAGACAAACCAGTGGTCGATATAATGAACACCGTTCATGTCATCGAGACACACTGTCATGTTATCAACAGTAACTCAGTCAGACCACTTGCTTCAATATTGTCACTGCTATGGACAAACAACAGATGGGCTCCTTAACTACAGGCATCTTTCTGAATACCGTACCAAAATATATGCTATGAGATTCTTCCAATCCATTCAAATACTGTAACTAAAGTCAACAACGCTGAAGCGAAGTAGCTGTGCTGAAACATCACTAAGCTGCAACATTACAAAACTTGTTTATATGACCACATATTAGATGATAAATGGTTGCTGGGCGGGTCTAGTAGTTGCTAAGGAAGTTGGGATCAACAGATGACAGCTTCGCAGACAGGAATGCATGGACACAGAACATCAGTGTATGCAGACTTGTGCACTCGATCTCCTGCAAGGAAGAAAGATACAAAATGGTCATTAAGGAGATGAACAGCTGGTTCGTCAACCATTGGCTACCCACCACAACATTAATGATAGATTTATTTGTACTTTATTCAAATATTACAATCACTGAAATAAACTTCAGTATACCTGACAACTTCTTTGACTGGCATTATTTAGAAACTGGAGAGCAATATACAGGCAAACTTTATGGATGAACAACTTCTTTATTCAAGTGATGCAACGTTTCGATACAGATTCTTGTATCTTTGTCAAGCAAGTATACCTATACATAGTATACCTGACGTTCAAAGTCAAAACCCTGAATAAACAACTGTGAGTTGCACTAAGACAAAGGAGTGACTGTTAATGCTGAGCTATTCCAGCTGAATCAGAGTAAATTATCTGCAGGGATCAGAACGAAGTTTTGAGAAAACTCTGAAAACTAGCCGGGGGTTTAGCATCTATCGGATTTAGACCATTCACAAAAATTACCCTTGGCCTTATGAAATTCCCGGAATTCTGCGGATCCGCAGAAAATTCTCATCCCTGTATCTGGACCAGACAAACAAGTGGTTGACAGCATGAACCACTATCAACACCATCTGGTAACACTGACTGGAATTAATCAACTGATGACCCAATCCAATTTAGTCACCTGTGAGCACAAGCAATAGAATGCTGGAGACATTCTAGTCTGGGTCCCTTGAGTGAGTGCATATTTCACTGTAGATCTCAGATGTATCCACTGTGGTGAAACCAAGTGAGTATCGGTATAGTGGTGACAAACCTAGAAACACTGCGGTTCCTGCTGTGGCCAAGGGACATAACTCTGCATCTGTCTTGAGTTGAGAAATAATATTTTGTACATACTCTGCTTTGAAACATCAGACAAAGAAGGAGTGCTTACCCTAGATTCTACACTCCTACTCATGTCATTCTGGAAGAGCAGTTTGAGTTTGGTCTTGCCGTCATCTGACGAGCCCTTCAGCTGGGAGAAGCGGTAGGTCCAGACGTACGTCTTGGTCTCATGGTCCACCAATGAGAAGCCATGTTCCAGATCCAGAGTGAGGCCGGACAAACGACCTCGCCATGAGCAGCCAAATGTTATATTCTGAAAACAATTCCACAAAGATCAAATTCACTGCAATATAAAGTATCTGTACTGCAATAGAATGGGCCAGCACCAACAGTAGAGCAGCATCACTGTCACAGACATTATCATTATGCGTAGATCCAGAAATTTGAAAGAAAGAAAAAAGTTGTTTAAAACTTGGATGTTAAGCCCGTAAAGATATCATCATGTTTCTTATTGCAATGCCATCAGCTTGTCACATAACTTCATAATTGATACTGTCAAACAAAACATATTTAAGTGAAAATATAAATCTCTGCAACTTACTAACACATAATGATAACATGTGGAATAACAAGTATTCTGAGACCACAGTATTCTATGAGGCCATTCAGCTGGTTGAATCCTGTACACGTGTTACAGACATGTCATTCATGCAGCTCAGAGCAACTAGCACCCAGGAAGATCAAGGTATATAAAGGAAGTCATTGAGAGATAGCCTAAGGCTGGAAGATCTTAATTAATTTATCATCCCAAACTGTGTTCCACAGGAGATATCGCTTGTGTGAGATCAAACGATATCTCCTAGGAGATATCGTTTTGACAGTAGATTTTGTACAATGCCCTGACAATGCTATGACGTCATGTACTTGATGACGTCACAATGCTATGACATCGCTGCACTGCAAGTCTAATGGCAGTACCATGTTCAGAGATGTACATTTTTCATTGAAAATTAATGAAGAGTGATTTTGGATGATAAATAGAATCTCACCCTCGTGTCTTCTGATATCAAATATATCAACACTTGTTGATAAAAGTAAAAATATCCTCGTAAAACCTCGGATATTTGTAACTTTATAAACTCGTGTTGATATAATTGATATCAGAAGACACGAGGGTGAGATTCTCTATATCTACCCTAAACAGGAACACCTAAATACAAACACAGCCAGATATAAAAAGGATGTCATCAAGTGATACCAACATTTTGGAAATAACAGCTGGAAGGTAAAACAATCAACTAAAATTCTTCCTTCATACATGTAACAATCACTACTGTGCAAGCCGTGTTAGAGAGATGGAAACATAAGGCCCCCAAAAATATATGTCCGTTTCCTATTACATGCTTTTTAAAAATAGGGTAGGTGGGTTGTTTTATCTTTTTTTTTTCACTTTTTTTATATATTATTTAGTGGCACCAGGTGGGCACCTGATGTCTTCAAGAGCACCATATCATGTAATGACAATGTCTTATGATGAAACATTGAATGGGGCGGTGGGGTAGCCTAGTGGTAAAAGCGTTGGCTCGTCACGCCGAAGACCCGGGTTCGATTCCCCACATGGGCACAATGTGTTAAGCCCATTTCTGGTGTCCCCCGCCGTGATATTGCTGGAATATTGCTAAAAGCGGTGTAAAACTAAACTCAGTCAGTGAAACATTGAAAGATTTCTACATCAAATCATTACTCATGTTATTTATTTGCAGATTTGGTCAGTGAGGACCCATTATGAAAATTCAATTCAATCCACTTTAGCCCTACGCACACTGAAAAACATGACAATATCATACTCGATTTGGATTTTAATGATGAGTTGAATTGCACTCCAGTCATGATACTGAAATAGATTTAGGGTCGGGGGGGATTAGGATAGGGTCGGCCGGGTTACGAAACGGGACATTGGGGGTGGGGTGGGGTGTGGGGTGGGGGCTTAGAAACTGACATCTTGGTTGTTTCTTCCTAAATACCTCACACAATTCCTTTTGGGTTAACAGCGAAAACGTAATAATGATAACGTAAGCCTCCTTTTGGAGCTGTGCAACATCTCATGGCTACCTTTCATTGGAAAATATCTAGGACAGGTATCTTGGTAATTTATGTCAATTAGCTTCCAACTGACCTTGATCCTATGGACGGCGAGACTGTTGGTCTTGTACCATGCTCTCTCAATATGTAACAGGTCTGATCGCGACTCAACACTCAACACGACAGACTCGCCACTTCCTGTCTGAACAGAACAGCAGTGCTGGCGGTCGTCTGGAAGCTCCTCATCCTGGTGACAAATATGTGAGATACGTCCCTAATATCTTATTACCTTGTAGATCACATAACTGATATATTTCTGATGAGACTACAATATTACAGGAAAAGATATTTGTATTATGAAACTGCATGAAACACTGACCTCAAGGATCTCAAGATAGTCAATTCACAGTTGCTCATAAAGCAGTTTTAAAGATTCAAATCACTGTTTACAAAATTTCAATGGGTCAATACAAAGTCTTCTGAAAATCTCCGACATGAATAGCAGTTGTTAGTCAAATATATAACTTATAAGATAATTTCTTGGGAAGACAGTTTCAGACTTTTCTGAAAATTACTTGATTCCAAAAGGCCAGGGATCATGAAATGATTTCGTAACTATCTAGAAGCTGAGTTTGTGAATACAAACTGGGACCTTAATATATAAAGAATATTTTGTATATGACAATGAATGCATATGCCTTGGTGCACAAACTAGGATTTACCCTTTCACATGATGAATGTCATTAAGTGATCAATGATTCATAAACACATTATTGTCTGCTTCAAACATAATAATGTCAAATCCTTAGATATTCTGACATTTGAATTGAGTGAATGAGTGATTGTATATTCAATAAAGCTGCATCAGAAAGTTTTCAGTTTTCGAGGAAACACAATTTATGAACATTTAGTCTTAGCTTGACACACTTCTTCAGCTCACCTTCAACATCTTGAACATACATTCATACACCTTGTACTTCATATCACAGCGAGTCCAGTCACGAGCATGCATCTGAAACAACATCAACCAACAATGGCCTTCATCCTCTAAATGACGACTTACACCTGTATGTGATTATGGTTGCATGATTTAGCACAACATATGGCCACAGATGGTAAATAGCAATTGCAGTTATCTAAACTGGGCATGTACAATGCTACAATCATGTGAAACCTTACTGCGATACCTGACCGTCTTTACACAGTTCCTACAAATAGCATGGTGTGAGGGGTCACATTCTGCACTTTCCTACTGGCAATCTTACATCTACTGGTTTATTTTCTTTCTTTCTTTTATTATAGGATATTTATATAGCGCACATATCCATGCAACCATTGCTTGCTCAAGGCACTGGTATTTGTTTCCCTCGATCACTGGATGTCAATCTCAACGTCACATTGTGTTATCAATCACAACTCCCTGGGGAGTATACAACTCTTGCTGCCACTAGGCGCACCGAGTTTATTGTGGCTCTCTCATCCTCACGAGGTACCCAATTCACAGCTGGTAGGTTAGAGCTAAAGAGTAAGGACAGCTATAGCTCTAGCATCACTTTGAGGAACACTGTTCAAAGTGAGGAGCACCTTAGCACTAACGTGATCGTAACATCCCATAACATATGCTTCAATCGTTGTAGCATTAGAGTTGCCTTGGACAGCAGCATCCAAGACCCATAATTTAAAATATGGGGACAAAAGCAAGGGATGCCAGAGATGTGTTCAGTCCCTGGTCCTCGCGGTTGTTTTGACAAAGAAAGGAACACTGTAACACACACGCATATAGTGTTGCTTGTAACTTATGTAAGATACTCACAGGTGGAACATCAAAGAGAAAGACCTCGGGTCCCTTGAGAGCCATGAACTTGGCCTTCCATGGCTGGTTGTGGACAGCGGCTGACATCCGCTGCTGGCTCCAGCACATGTGTGCTATCTGTAACACAGCAGGAACAGCATCATGGTACTGGGGAGCATACTGCATAATATCACTTTCACAAAGTATAGCTTTCACAAAGGGAGTGAGTTGAACGCATCATCATTTTGGATAGTATATACATTGTATGTCAAATTGTTTCAGGATGAAGTGATACTTTTAAAACACAAAGGCTACTTGAAGCTGATTTATTCATGCTGGACTGTCTAATACAAGGACCACTTATCACGAGGGCATTTTAGAGACCTGGGTGATACAGGTATTCAGTGCAACAATTGGAATCAGACACCTGTCTATGAGCAGAAGTCATAGCGAGTGTATTAGTCACATGCTTGAGATCCTTGTGCTAGTGCTTAGCGCTATGGTGATCATAACCAGCATACTTCAACAGACTCACCACTGTTGTAGTGCAATTACTGAGGTGAGGTGAGGTGAGATGAGGTGAAATGGGTTTAACGTCAAGAATATTTGAGAATATTTCGGCTCATATGGCGTGCATGCACCGTGTGTATGTGTAGGTAGCGGCTGCTCGTACTAGCCCAGACTTAAGCTGGTTTAATAGTGCTAGCTCACTGAGATACCATGCCGCAGTGAAGCATGAATACCCCACTCAGACACAGTATACTGACTCCGAGCCGACCAGTCCTTGTTGTACCCATTAATGCCGAACGCCAGACAGGGACCAACAAGTACCATATTTTAACGTCTTTTGGTATGACGCGGTCGGGGATCAAACCAGCGACCTTCCGCTCTCTGGGCGGACGCTCTAACCACTACACCACGGATGCGGTCGTAGTGCAATTATTACTTTGTGAAACAGGACCCATAGCTTCTGTACTTACATGGTCCTCGGCTAGCAACATCTTGTTGGTCATCTGAACCTACAAACAGAAAACAGGAGCATCTCAGTGCCCTGAAAACTTCACACAAAACACATCACACATAACCTTTACTTGTCAAATAACCTACTGATGACAGAGAGTGACATGACAAAATTTGTAAACTTATGAGAGATAATGTGACTTGGTCAGATCATGAAGTGAGAATAACATGTTATTCATCAATAGTCTCACAAAAATAGAGAAGTTGTTATCCGTAAAGTTTGTCAATATTGCACTTCTCAACTTCTAAAATGCCACTCAAAGAAGTGAGCGAATGAGTTTAATATTACACTGCACTCAGCAATATTCCAGCTATATGGCGGCGGTCTGTAAATAATCGAGTCTGGACCAGATAATCCAGTTATCAACAACATGAGCATCAATCTACACAACTGGGATATGATGACATGTGTCAACCAAGTCAGCGAGCCTGACCACCCAATCCTGTCAGTCGCCTCTTATGACAAGCATGGATTACTGAAGATCAATTCTAACCCAGATCTTCACGGGTTACTCAAAGAAGTCAACATAGTGTTCCTCACCAACTTTCTCTGTGTAACCTGTGAGTGGATGTTACCTACCATCTGTGTGAGGAGATTGTCGATGATGGATGTGATGGACTGGATCCATTCAGCCAACATGCGGTTGTCCTCACAGTGCAACACACCTGAGCTGGAGCCGTCACAGCCAAACACTTCAAAACTGTTCATTCTGCCCAAAATTAAACATCATCAATAAACAGCAACGGATCCCAATCCCCACATTACTGAGCAAATTCAAAGAGGTATACATGTTTATGACAGAGCAAAATATCCCTTAGATGTTCTCAGAAGCAATGACATACTTGTGAAGTAATACTATCAACATCTGCCCAAGTTTACATGGATACATAGGTTTTCAGTTTCGACAGCAAAAACAGTCACTTGGTACGAACAGTCCAAGGACAGTTTCAACCAATATAAACATTTCTCTCAACCAGTACACACTGAAATAGTGAGTGACTGAGTTGAGTTTTACACCGCTTTTACTAATATTCCAGCAATATCACGGTGGGGGACACCAGAAATGGGCTTCACACATTGTGCCCATGTGGGGAATCAAACCGAGTCTTCAGCGAGACGAGCGAACACTTTAACCACTAGGTTACCCCACCGCCCTCACACTGTAATAACAACAGCATGATGACAGTGATACTTTCTAGGTTGTCATAAAACATCACAGCCACATTGCTTTCACAAGCTGAATTCTGACCCTGAAGTTTTTGGGTATGGCGAGTATACCTGAGTTTGTCTGTGCCTGGCAGGAACCTGGTCAGTCTGCCGTAAAGTAGCGGTATTGAGGTGACCGTCGTCCACTGTCGCTCCAGCCTCGGCAGTCCAGGAATCAGCGGACCAGACAGCTGATGTGCAAAATGATAAATGCTCGTCAAATCAACAGATACATATATCCTCAACCTAGTAACATTCTGCTTGGTCAAAACTGCTTGCATATAGAAAGTATTCACCCATGTTTCTACAAATGATGGCTACAAATGAAAAAAACAAACGCTTAGATGATGGTGATGAATTTCATCAGAATCTTTAAGTTCACAGTGTTTCAAAGACTGTTCTTAATCTGGTAATGCATTGTTTACAATTTGTAATGTTTGGGTCAAATCGAAATTTCAAAGTTATACTATTTCTCTGCAGTTATGTAACTTCAGCTAATAACAGTCTAATAACAACTGAGTCGGTTCAGAACCACGAGTGCTAGCCCGCCGATCCTGAACGCCTGTGCCCGTTCGAGTGCCCGTTCGAGCGCCCGTCGCCAAGCGCACGAACCATTCTCACAGCTGCCTTGCCACTGAACTAAAATGGCAACCATGTTTAATGTCATTCAACACCACTCGCCCCTTTCCATAACCTCCAACAAGAAGACAAGAAGCTATTCGGCTTGTCCCGGAATAACACGAATGGTCGCATGAGTAATGAAACTAAGAGCTCAGCGTCCATTCAGGGCTGATCACGAAGCTCACGGGAGGCAATAGCGTGGGTGCTGCGGGTTCTGAACACACCTCTGTTCTACAGAAAATGTGCTTACAGACAAGTTTAGCTTATGTTTTCAAAAACCTTGGAAAAGGAGACTGATAAAGTCATACAATTCATCACAGTCTGAAAACATATCCAAAATACCCCTCAGGCTAATACAGATCTGTGATGTCATTTACTTCCTTTCATACATTTTAAAAGATTAACTTTATTCCTTATGGGATATGTAACACATGACTTCAATCATTTCAAAAAACATTTAAGGAAATTCCAGAATTTCAACTTACTGGAGGATCATCCTTTTGGGAGCGCACTTGGTTACCTAGGAGATAAATGAAACAGTAAGTATACAGCACAAAATATCCACAGTTCTTAAACTCTGTTAAGTTACTGAGTGTGGTGGGGTAACCTTGTGGTCTAAGCTTTCTTCCATCATGTCGAAGGACTGGGTTTGATTCCCCATATGGGTACAATGTGTGAAGCCCATTTCTGGTTTCCCCTGCAGCATAAAACTAAACTCACTCTCTTACTGTTACTGAAGATGTGAAAAACTACCGCCAAACTCTAAACCAGCATGGAAGATCTATGAGGAATGAAAAATCCAACGTGTAAACATGCTAGATTAGTATGGTATATTAAATAGATTATCTTCTGGGATACTTTTGAAAATGTTACTAAAACAACCTTTACCTAAAAATAGAAAAGACTGACTGACTTTTAGTTTGACGCCAATATTCCAAATATAGACAAAATGGGCTTAACATATGTGCCCGTGTGTAATCGAACCGGGTCTTCGGCTTTTTCCACTAGGCTACCCCACCGATGAAAAGAAATATGTCAGTATTTTTCAGATGAGTGACCACAGCTGGTGACCTGTAATAACAAGGCAAGGACCTTAAGAAATAGGTTTTACACATTGTAAGTAGGGGACAGAACCTGGTTCTAACTTGAGACAGATGAAAGACAAAAAAATCCCAGATGATGTAGCTAGGGTACCAATTTTATATTGGCTGCCTTGTTTAAGTCCATTAATTCAGGCAGGTAAATTACTAATCAGTAAATGATTTACGAGAAGGGTTAGTAGACACGCAACTTACAGGAATTACCTTTGTTGAGAAAGTGTGACGCAGGGCGGAAGTGTTTCACTGCGAGCTTCACGATGTTTCCTTCCGTGTCCTTCATCGCCTTTACAACCTGGTCATGGGTGAAGTCCTCCACATTATTGCCGTTAACCTGGAACAACAACAAAATAATGTAATGCTGCCATCAAAATAATAGGGCGAGAGAGATGGGCATATTGGTATTTATGGCAGCACAGTTCAGGAATAAGACAAATCTTCCTTCGAAACTTGACATGGGAAATAGTGTTCCATTGAATTATTACTCTTCTACTGAAACTAGGCAAGGAAAGATTTCTCATCCACTGAAACTAGGCAAGGAAAGACAACTCTTCCAATGAAACTAGACAAGGATAGACTACTCTTCCACTGAAACCAGGCAAGGATAGATTACTCTTCCACTGACACTAGGCAAGGAGAAACTACTCTTCCACCAAAACTAGGCAAGGAAAGATTACTCTTCCACTGACACTAGGCAAGGAAAGATTACTCTTCCACTGACACTAGGCAAGGAGAAACTACTCTTCCACCAAAACTAGGCAAGGAAAGATTACTCTTCCACTGACACTAGGCAAGGAGAGACTACTCTTCCACCAAAACTAGGCAAGGAAAGATTACTCTTCCACTGACACTAGGCAAGGAGAGACTACTCTTCCACCAAAACTAGGCAAGGAAAGATTACTCTTCCACTGACACTAGACAAGGAGAGACTACTCTTCCACCAAAACTAGGCAAGGAAAGAGATTACTCTTTCCAAAATCTGAAACTAGACAAGGATAGACTACTCTTCCACTGAAACTAGGCAAGGAAAGATTACTCTTCCATTGAAACTAGACAAGGAGAGACTACTCTTCCAACAAAACTAGGCAAGGAAAGATTACTCTTCCATTGAAACTAGACAAGGAGAGACTACTCTTCCACCAAAACTAGGCAAGGAAAGATTACTCTTCCACTGACACTAGGCAAGGAAAGATTACTCTTCCACTGACACTAGGCAAGGAAAGACTCTTCCACCAAAACTAGGCAAGGAAATTAACGCTTCCAATGAAACTAGACAAGGATAGACTACTCTTCCACTGAAACTAGGCAAGGAAAGATTACTCTTCCATTGAAACTAGACAAGGAGAGACTACTCTTCCACCAAAACTAGGCAAGGAAAGATTACTCTTCCACTGACACTAGGCAAGGAGAGACTACTCTTCCACCAAAACTAGGCAAGGAAAGACAATGCTTCCAACGAAACTAGACAAGGATAGACTACTCTTCCACTGAAACCAGGCAAGGAAAGATTACTCTTCCACTGACACTAGGCAAGGAAAGATTACTCTTCCACTGACACTAGGCAAGGAGAGACTACTCTTCCACCAAAACTAGGCAAGGAAAGATTACTCTTCCATTGAAACTAGACAAGGAAAGACTACTCTTCCACCGAAACAAGGCAAAGAAAGAGCGTAGTCTGTTGTTTAACGTGACACAGCTATATGACAGCATGAGCATTGATCTAAGTATTTGAGATACGGCCTGTATGTAGGAGTACATTTACCTGCACATAAGGGTATGTTTACCTGAATGTAGGCTATGTTCATCGTAACTGCATAGACAGTTACCTGTATCTAAATACATATTTACCTGCAGGATAGCATCTCCCACTATGAGCTCCCCAGACCTGTCTGCCGCCTGGCCGATGATGATCCTAGAGATGAGGACTGGGAGATTGTGCTCTGCCCCTCCCTTCACGCACAGACCCAAACCACTGGCTCCCTCACGGTTGATTGACACCTCACGGATCTGTAACAGCATATGTTTAGTTGCAGAGATAGATTTAGCCACTTGTCTATTTGTCCGCAACCAAAATTAACTGTGGAATTGTATGGATATGACCCATGCAGCTAACTATATAACGCCTGGCAAGCTAAAAGTAAGTACCATTTTCTGCATTTGTTATGTCTTTACACTAGGAGTAGGAAGTGGATCCAACCAGTACTTTCTGCCCCTATTTTTCTTGACCTTTGTAGCTCTGGGCCTGCATTTGTTAAACATTTCAGTTTTGCATTATACACTAGGAGTAAGGAAAATGAGTAATTGTGATATTGCTGAAATATTGCTAAAAGCGGCATAAAACTAAACTCACTCAGAGGCCCAGATAAGCTGCGTATCCGGGTAAAATACGCATAGAAACTTTCCAATTACGCATTGAAAAATAATTGTTGCGTACCAATTACGCATTTAAACTGTTAGATACGCAAAGAGTTTAAAACAAATGCGTATGGAATATACTTATAAAAATCGCTTGCGTAATGAAAAAGACATCGATTGCTATCAAGTTGTACTGTGAGTATAGGACAAGTGTTGTACTGTCAGTATAGGATGACTGTTTTTTTATAAAATCATTTCCCTTATATTTAAGTTGGTTTTGATTAGGTATGACATAAGGCAGGACATACCTGCTTAGTAAACTTACTCAATGACACTTACTTAGGTGTGCAAAATGACTGAAATACGTACATATTTGAAAGCAGTGGGTAACGGTAAATGAAATACCCACTCAACATTCATAATACCCACTCCAAAAATATACAGTGGGTACAGTACCCACATTAGCTAAATCTTATCTGGAGCTCTGTCACTCACTCTTGTTGCAGCAAAATAGAGGTATTGAGAACTGGTTCAGAATAACAGCCCTAAAATGCTACTGACCATCATTGTAAGTTTGCTTTTCTTCGGTACAATTGAGTAAGCTCAGGCTCATGGACTAGCATGAATCTGGAAGGCTGATGAATATTAAAATTTCTGCGTGAGCTAAAGAGTGATTAAATATGTGTGAACTTTATTGTTATTTCTTATCAACAGACTGCACTAACCATATTGAGGAACACCTCATCTTCCTCCTCCAGTGGTGCCATCACCCATTCCTCTTTCTGTATGACCAGAGTTTCTGTCATCAACTGTAATCTGATTGGTTGAGCCTTGCCTCGCCCATCATGTAATGTTACAATTCCACACTTAACCTATAAAGGAAGCAGTTTGAAGTTGAAGTGCATAACATCATAATCCATAATCATAGTTGAAACACAACAAAATTCACTAAAGTAATGACCTATATAATGCTAAGAAATGTGATCAATATTCAAGACCACCCACCAGTATTTAAAAATGTTCATGTATTTATTTGGCACCTGATTTAACAACATCTGATGAATTCTAGGATTTTCAAGATATTTTGTCAAATTCTAAGGACTTGTGGTAGCAGATTTATATCTAATGCTTTTGTCTGGCTATGAGGCTTTGAACACTAGCATAGTTTTATCACAAGGCATCAACTAGATGGTTGATGAAATCCTAAAGTGGTGCACGCTTTAATTATGTACAATGTGACCACTCTCAGCATCACTGCGCATATTCAATGACAGACATAATAGAAGAGCTTATGCACAACATCATGACCCCAGTGACCCTGTTTCTAGGATGATGGTACAGATGATTGTTTTGCTCCACAAAATAGGGTACTGTGACATGTTTGTAACTGAATTCTCCAGAAATCTGACATAACATTTGGTGAATATTCTTAACATTGATAAGTTAAAATTAAAGAAAAAATGGTAATATTCATGCTGCACTGGTGTAACATGGACGCTAGTTCAGCCAGCTATACATATGTATACCTTGGTAGGAACACGACGTTTAGCTGGCTGAACTACATGGACGCCAGAAGGCACAATGTTAAATGATGTATACATATGTCCCATGGCTGTGTCAAGTGAAGGACATACCAAATTACATGGCATATTACATGACAAACCACAGCCACTTTTGAATGTGTTTGTTTTAAATATCACTCCTATCAAGACTGTGAATAGTGTGAAAGGTGAATAGACAACTGCAGATCTCTCCCTGATTCCATCATACATTACATCTCCATACATTTGGCAGTAGGTTTTTGACAGCCGGACAACACAGCAATATCCTGAAAGTCATAGACTGTTAGAGGAAATGCACTATTTATGAACTGTCAAACTCGACTCGTGGCCGATAGATCTGTCACGCAGACGGTAATGTGCAGGAATATATGTCTATATTTCGGTGCTTAGGCTTAAAATAACTGCAGTACCTCTGTCATTTTTTCTGTATTCAGTCTACCATAATTATGCGGCCCCAACGACTCAAATTACGCTCTACAAGTGTCATTTTCAAGCACAGCATTCCATCACATTACTTTCCGAAGAGACAAATTTGTCGAAGACTACTTTCCTAACAAATAACATTATGGATCACACAGCACAAGCAGCCTCTGACAACAGGAAAAACATTCCTAGTACAAATGTTAACACACAATTTGTTACATTAATCAGATATTTTGGCGTTATCTAAATGTAGGATGAGGAATATAGGTCATAGCTCGTCCCGACATTATCTGATGCTGTCGTTTGAGGCAATTTAGAGAGTACATTATAACCAGGGTATTATAAAGGCAGGAAATCCGTTCTGGCAAAAACATGGCATTATATCCAGGGTGGTATTATAACCAGGGTACACTGTAATTGTTAAATTATCAATGATCCTTCCTATAACAGGTAGACACTACATTGTGCCATGGGTAAATAAAGTACATCTGCTGTCTCATAATATCAGACATAAATGTGGTGGAAAACGGACACCCAGTATGTCGAGGTATATACCCAATGTGTTGATAAAGATACGAACATCAGTCTCAACATGCAAGATCACGCGTCACTAGGTATCGGGTGTGTCTATGTTGTGTTTTAAACCCCAATAATCAGTGAAACCACATATTTTAACTGTAACAGTCTTCACTAACACCAGTTATGAGGAAGGTTGGCTGACAGTGGCGTTTGATTTGTTTCCTTGGATTTCTTGGACGAAGGCTGATAGTCATTGTCACATGGCAGTCGTGAAAAATATATACTACCCGTCAAAGGTTTAGACTCACTTATACACTCACTATATCTTATGTATATCTATATGGCTACATCGAAGAAGAATTTCTCCACTAACTTGGGGGAACCAAGTGCAAACCTCATGCAGATGAATTTCACGAGGATCACGAGGATCAAGCATCAAATTGCTGACAAGCAGGTGCAAATATCGTGCATGTGAACAGCTGCTTGTTGGTTTAAAGTTTAAGAATTCGCCAATTTTCACCGACTTTCACCATTTACTGAACTCATGACAATAATCTTTTCAACGCTACGAATTTGTTTTACAATACGTCAGTTCGTGTGTAAACAGTACCTTTAAACAGTATGGAATATTTTGCAAAATCTAGTTTAGAACAGTAAGTAGCCACTTGTAGCCACTTACTTCAGTCAACTGTTCTAAACTTTTGATGGGTAGTATAGGGACATTGATGAATGACATAATTGCAAAGCTCATTAAGACATATTGTCAATAAATGCACAACAGAATAGAAATTGGGCTTAACGATTAACACTTTAATCTGAGGATTACCGCGTGGTAATTAATGTTATTTGAATGATTCTATACATACATGGCTACAGCATATAGTTTAGACTTTTAAATATGTTGCCTCAAGCAATGTTTGTTATAAATTCTGAGTCGCCAGTTTGTCAGTTTTCTCGACATGAAATTCATGTAAACCTTCACACACGAATACGTCTTCCATCGTCAAACCCGCATCCTTTAATTTTTAATGTTTGAATGCCTCCATTAATTCTATACCCTAGTATTTATGTACTAAGTTTTCGTACCCCATTGCGGGCAAACAGCGAACGTTTTCCTGTCATGTTTTTGATAACCACAATTTTAGTAATTTTGGGGGTTAAATTCATTATTGTGCATTTTACTTAAAGTCTGAGAAATATAAAGCTCTTGCTGGTTTGAGTGGCATTTTAGAAGTTGTGGGGTACAATATTGAACAAACGTTATGGATAACAACTTCTTTATCTCGTGAGTGCGACGTTTCGATACAGATTCTTGTACCGTTGTCAAGAACCCTTGACAACTGTACAAGAATCTGTATCGAAACGTCGCACTCACGAAATAAAGAAGTTGTTATCCATAGCGTTTGTTCAATATTGTAATAGTTGTCTATTCTCTTCTCCCTCTATACATACAGCGCACACATAATAACAAGGGTTACAAAATATTTCCCCAAATGAGGAGTGGTATATTTTTTATACGTTTGATAGCAGTATCTTAATTAATCCAAATCTCTTCTCACGCCTACTTGACCAATTCCAGTTAAATAATACAGTACGGCTAATTGGGTTGTGCTAACTATTAGACATTCAACGTTTTTGAACGTCATTGAAAGTTTTTGAAAGGCATTTAGAAGTTGGACGAACATGAGAACATTACACGTTTTATGGATAACAATTTTTAAAATTCATTTTACAGCTACAGAGCTACTTCTTGCTCCTTCATTCATTGAGACCATTTAGATTAATTCAGAGGTTTTTGTTTTGGCATGACATGTGAAATACAATTTTTCAGTACTCACATTAATGTGCTGGAAGTTATATTTATTCCATTGATCGAATTCAGGCAATTCTAATGTAAAACGAAATTTAATATCAACTTTAATGTTACAATTTTTTCATAAATGTTTTGTTTTAGAAATATTTGTGAATCAAGTGATAACTGACAACTGACTTCATTGTATCATTGAGTGTGTGATTCAGTTATTAAATGATGAAGAATGATCATCTTCCTCTAAAAACCTAGAAATAACCACGCATATGAACATTGATGTCATATGAAATTGATCTCCGTCGCAGAATTCTGGTTTTGTTTTCAGTACTTATTTACAGTAGAGGCCTGAGAGGATATATTATTTGATATAACATTTATAATGGCTGTTAATTAACCTGGATTCAGGCTTTTCACATGAGGGGGTTGTTAGGTGAAGAAAGGGTTGTAATCAAATAGTATTTCTGCTCTCCAGCGCGTAAGTCAGGAAAATCGTCATGCCAAATCACGTGAGATTGTAAACGAGACTCGGTACCTTAGCAACACCGGGCAACAAGGACGCAGGCCTAGAATATCAACAACCAAACACGCTCAGAACTTAGTGTGTGCCTCTGCCAGTTCGAAGGCAGTAATTTGATGATGGAAGGCTTACCATTTCTTCCCGGAAACTCCTTTAATGACCCAACTGTAAGTAACACTTTTAGTGCACCTTTACAACCACGATTGTTTAATTTATTCTGGCGGCCTCTCGTCTGGGCCTTGTTGCTATTGATAAGAAATGATAAACTTGGTCAGAATTACCCTGACACATGTTGTTCTGAATTTCACAGGTAGAATGAACTATTACTATTTGGATATCGGATTTTGAAATCGACAGCAGTTTCTTGTTTCTGTCTTGTATTTGGTTCGCTCCATTTTACCAGGCCAGTGGTATCTCCAGTTCGAGGTTAGGCGTGTAGGCCAACGTTATGCCTGCTTTAGCGTTTCCACCATTTTTCCATCTATTATTCATACACTGTCTGCACCTGTTCTACACCTCGGGACAATAAAGACCACACCTATACACCAATGTATATATTTATTTAGTCCATTATAGACATAGAGACTAACAGATTTCGCCCATTAGTCAATATAATGCCAACACACAGCAAAAGACATTATCCAAAATGGCAAATTTCTCCTGGCCTGTACGATACCATAACTTTTGGTCAGTTTGGCATGAAGTATAGGCCTAGTGCCAATTATTTCCTAGTCAATTATCATGCATGTTTCCAAGATATTTATACAGGTAATGATGAGTTTCCATGACTCTTTTGTTTCCTATTCATGTCATAATTTGCTGTTAAATAGCAAGGAGTCATACATACAAAATTTCCTTCTTGCACAAGGGTGAGTAAACTGTAAAAAATTCCTCTGTGCCCAAACTTATTTTTCATCTTGCCTTGCTAAATGATGACAATGTGACAAAATAGTTTTGCTGTCATGTGTCAGCCAATGGAACTTGCATTTATGATTACACAAGACTATTGAAACTCTCATTCCTGGTGGGTTTTTTTCATGTTTTGTCCTTCTTTCCTTATGTCTTTTTTTCTAGGACTATATTTCCAGTTGTTTGTGTTTGCATATTAAAAGGCTGGTCCTCATGTCCGTTAAAACTGGAAATGAACTGTTCAGAGATAAGCCATTTTGATCAGTCAGTAGATTAACAGTCAGTCATCAAATTCTAACCAAAAAGTTATTCTGGACATGGAAAAACATGTATTCTGATATCCTCACTTAATAAATTAACCGATGGAATTCCATTCCAACTGGAAATTTTACACAGCGCATTGACTGGTCTCCTGTCACTGTCGCATATGCTCTCAGCACAACAGCTTGATATTGAAGTGAAATATTAGGGCAGGGAGCCAATATAATCCTGCAGGGAATTTGTTTAAAGGGAGGTAATTGAAATAATTTTCAAAGCACCTGATGTATCAATGTTGCAAAGTTAACACTGTTGGTTTTTGTACTTCATCGAGATCAACTAAATTATCTATTTAATAAGGTACTTTTCATTACTTGTATTACTTGTTTTGTTTTTTTTAAAATTAGGTGGGGGTACGTAAGGAACTCTTACCAGCTGTTCCCAAAAGATCTCTCTTGTACATCTCTGTCATGAAACAAATAGTCAATCAATTGGAAAATGAAAAAAAAAAAACATATAATTGCCATTACAAAAGCATAGGAGTCAGTAAAATACAAGGGAATCTATACTGATGTTCAACAACATGTAATGTCCAACAGAGCATTCTTGCTGCAATGTAATAATCAATACCTTTATTTACATTGTTTTTAACAACTGAGGATATATTACCAGATAACTATTTTCTTTCACAGAGGGGCAAGTATCACAGACCACACTCACTGGGATACAAGAATGGCTACGCCATCCAGAAGCGTCCAGAAGTTGGGATTGGTGGTGAGACTATTTTGCACAATCAGCTGAATGAGGCAGAGCTGGATGAACTGGCCAACTTCAACCCCACTCTCACCTATGGTCAAGCAAAGCAAGCACCTCCAGAAGATTTTGTGCCCGGACATGTGGCTTGGGATAAAAAGGTGACTTACTATTCTAGACATGGTTAAAATGAAGACCTGCTAGCTGCTTCCTGAAATACAGTGTAGTTACACTGTAAACCTAATGCCAGCAGAGCTTAGCACTTTATGGAATGGTCAAACATAATATTATATATTCATCATGTTCATCCTTTTCTTCCAAAACCCAGCATAGTGGACATGGAGTGTACAGAATAGTCAAGAAAACGCAAGACAGCATCCTAACTGATTTATCCCCAGCTCCTTTCAGCATGTTCCATCTAGTGGTTTATGAAAAATGCTGTATATTTGTTGTAGAAAACAGCTAGTCCCTGTAGGTTTTCACTTTTCTCTGATGAACATGTGACTGCATCTATCCCTGTCCTGTAATAACCTGATTCAAATCATGAAAATGTCACAATACCATTTATCTCTAGCAAAATCACTGTTTGAATATTCATTTTGAAACATTTTGCCACAATTAAGTATTTATTGATGGTGTTTGTTTTCTGAATATTATTTATTTAATTTTTTTCATAATAAATAATTTCTGAATATATATATTTACTTGAATAGTTCTAAACCTGGGATGACTTTACAGGTGTTGCGGTTCAATGGCTACTTCAAGCAGACAGTGAATGAATCGCCTGATGAGTTCTACCGTGTCCGTCCTGTGGATATCTACTACTATCTGGAGGATGACAGTATCGCAGTGGTCGAGCCTCATGTGGAGAACAGTGGGATGCCACAAGGTCACTATAACTGGTTTTCATAATGTCGGGAAAGATTTCCGCCTGTAACCCCCGTTTTATTTTATCATTCTTTACCTAAGAACAAATGTTTTTTATTAAAAAACCCTTAACACTAACCCTTACCCTAAATCTAAACCACATCATAACCCTAAGACCCTAAACCTAACCCTAAAACCTCGAAATAATCCCAATAAATAGAATACATTTCAAGCGGGGGTTACGGGCGGAACTCTTACCAATAGAATACATTCAGAGCTCAACAGTAATACCCTTTATCATATATCCATAAATATACCTGAAACTGAGCATGATGCTACTGAAGACGTTATTAATTCATTCACCCATATTTTCATTCATCCATTTATGCTTACCCTCCTTCATTTCATCCATACTTATATCCATTCATTCGTCACCTGCATGTGGCGTGACCTTACCTCTTATTTCACAAATGAGCTGTACTACCATTATTGCAATGAATATTGGGTTTGATTCAATGCTTATATAAGTTATAATGAATATAAGGTAGTTACGTGGTAATTTAATTCAATAAAATTAACGAATCCACAGTACCATTATTTGTATCTGATACATGTTCTTAACAAGCTACTTTAAATCAAAATTGCATGTGCAATTATTGGATATAATATTCAGTCCAATAGTAAAACATACCTTGGAATATGATCCAATGCTCCAAAATAGCCAAAAAGAATTTCCTTCAGTACCCAAAACACAAATGTTTGCTTTCCAAACACTGAATGTGGAGTGACCACAGACCTTCTGAGGTGTCCAGTACAAAACCCAAGCTGGCCAAAGAGACAAAGGGACTTGAATAATGAAAGGGCTTAGGCTATTGTGTGAGACAGTGCATGAAGTAAGCATGCTTTGTAAGTGGGTTGTGACATGTAATGTTTTGGGCAGGCTGAGCAATATAATAAAATAGGATAGCTAACATTGTGAAAAGAAGACCTAGCAGTTTTTTAACTTGAATTATACTTTTTATATGTACCATACAATAAATATACAAAATCTGTTCATGCTACATGTGTGAGGCATAAAAGATATTTTGGAGGTCAGACTTGTTGGCTTGATGATGTGTATCCTAAAGGTGCCGGTCCATGTTCATAATATTAATCATTAGAATATCTGGAATTTGATAATTACAGGTCACATCACAGGCACACTTCTGAGTGCAGCATGAAAGTGAAAAACAAATAAGCAAAACAATAACTGTTTCTGATGATACAGGTTTCACATGTTTCTTTACAGAATTTTTTTATTGATGTTCCATAATGCTGTACCTTGTGCGCACTGATCCATTGAAAGGGTAATGATGTGTGCCTTATGCATGGAATACAGTGCAATATAAGTGGATTCTTATTATTGTTTATTTTACAGGGAAGCTGATCAAGCGCCAGCGTCTCCCGAAGAATGACCAGGGGGATCACTGGCACTGGAAGGATATCAACATGGGCCAGAACATCACCTTCTATGGCAAGGTGTTCCATGTTGTCACTTGCGATGGCTTCACAAAGGTTAGTAACAAAATAGGGAAATGTGGACAGGTACATCCTTGTATAAAATAGTTTTCCTTTGCATTATGTCTAGTATAAAGATATATTTTTAAAATCATCAATAATAATTTGTTATTAAGATGATGATAGAGAAAAAGTAACAGTAACTAATGCTTACAGTTTTGACCACTGCCCATCAGTTATAAAACTAGCTCTTCCAATGTTTTCGGCACTTGCTGAAAATATTAAGTAGATGATTTAAAGAGTTGGGGACAGCTCTGTCATAATTAACCACGGTGTGTTTTAGAGATATTTTAGAGTGTATTTAAGGTAACTTTTCAATAGGTTTTCATTAGTATTTACAGGTCTTACAGCTTCAGCTGTATACTGAATTACAGATATTGTACATAAACCCCGATAATCTAGATGGTAGTGTTAGCCTTTAACTGTTGGCATTAACTGTCTGGATTAACAACTGTGGTACCAAGTGGTGTCCCTTTGTACAATTTGAGCATACTCAGCATTTGTTGCTTGGAAGATGGTTTCTGAATTAATGAGGTTTCAATTTCAATGCAGTTGAGGAGAGAAAATAATCCTCGCCTTTCTGTTATCCTTTAGAACTTCCTGGAGAGTGAAGGTATGATAGTGAATGAGTCCTCTCAGATGCCAACCGATCCCTACATTGAAAGAAGGAAGCACGCAGCGGCACTGCGCACCTACCAGGCCCCGAGCTCGTTCGACAAGACCCGACAGTTCCTGGAACTTGACAGAAAGGTCCTGAGGTTCTACTGTGCCTGGGATGACAGGGACAGTATGTTTGGAGAGATGAGGCCATTCCTTTTACACGTGAGTTGCAGGGATCAGTGTTCAGTTGTGTATAGTGCACACTTTTAAATAAAGGAGCAGTGGATGGATGCGCATAATACATAGATAATACTAAACGATGTCCCCTGTAATACCATATTTATGAAATGAGTGAATGGTTTGGTATCTAATGAGCGAAAGCAAGTTAGATACCAATATCATTCACGAGTTTCATGGGACATAGTTTAGTATTTTATTTATTACTCACCCAACATTAGCAAAATAATATCGAAAGCAAAGTACTTCTTTCCTAAGAATTCAACGAGAGGTGATGACTCTCAGCTTTCCGAGAGTCAAGCAAGGTCTTATACTATTGTGACAGAGGTATTAGCATTGTGACGTCATAACTGTAAACCAGTTTTACGTCATACGTACAGCACCAGGTGATGTTTTTACACAATGTGTAATAACATTGTAAAATTATTAAACAGTGATATCTTCAACGGCTGAGTAATAAACACATTTAAGTTTTGATGTCTATTCCTGATGCAAAGGCATTACTGGGAGAATGCAATACTGGAAATAACATGTCAACAAATTTGTACTGATGCTATTTAATATTTTCATAAACAAGAATTACTTGTGTAAATGTGTTTTGGGGACAGATCATTTGATACTGGGATGGGTTTTTTTTAAAAACAGTTGTAAATGAATAAGCTTCTGTTTTTAAAAATACAAAATTACCATAATCAAAGGATTTGATATTGGTCTGAAAAATGTGGTTTGGCTCCTTTTAGAGAATAACTCTACAGAAAAAATAATCTGTCTCCAACAAAAGTCCCTGTTGGAATATACAGTTGTCATTAGCTTATGATATAGACAGTTGAAAGTCAGGGTACTTGGGGTTCTGAACCCATCATGATTTAACTTATTGAATAATGCCCAAATTATGAATGGACCATAGTCCTCAGAAAAGTGAACATGTCAAGAACAGTTTCATAATAATCCATGGCTTAAAACACTAATGTTGTTGGACTGACTGACTGAGTTTAGTTTTACGCCGCTTTTAGCAATATTCCAGCAATATCACGGCGGGGGACACCAGAAATGGGCTTAACACATTGTGCCCATGTGGGGAATCGAACCCGGGTCTTCGGCTAATGTTGTTGGAAGGTACAATTTGAGATTTGAGATATCAGTGGTCTAAATGTAGCATTTCTCTATGCAGTTGCAATCCACAATTGTGCCAAGATTTACTATCTTAGATTTGCAGGGATAGTGAGCGAGTTAATATTCATAGTGACATTGACATAATTCAGTCATAGTCACTAATTTACAAGTAATACGTCAATAGTACATTTTTAACTATAAAACCTGTTGAACTCGGCAGGGATAGAAGTGAACCCAAAGTCTACGAACCAGAAGTCATAACATAACAATACCTACAAATCTGTTTCAAATTCTTCTAGCCCATTCATATTAACAAAACAGGCTAGAACCAATTGTTAAAGAATTATGAATCTGAGATTCACTCTGGTTTGGATCATCCGTTTGTCAGAATTGTTTACATGGATTTCATCAGTAGTAAATTCCATTGACCTGACCTTCTATCACACATTCACCTGATCTGCTGTAATATAAACCCATCTCTCCCACTCACTGATAACACCCGTGAAGATCCGGGTTAGAATTGGTCTTCAGCAATCCATGCATGTCGTAAAAGGTGACTAACAGGATCGGGTGGTCAGGCTCGCTGACTTGGTTGACACATGTCCTCGTATTCCGATTTCACAGATTGATGTTCATGCTGTTGATCACTGGATTGTGTGGTCCAGACTCAATTATTTACACACTGCTGGCATATAGCTGGAATATTGCTGAGTGCGGTGTTACAAAACAAACTAACTAACCAACCACTCTGACAACCTTCTCTTTGTGTTTCAGTACTACTTGGTTGATGACACTCTGGAAGTACGGGAAATGCACTCCCCCAATGATGGCCGTGATCCATTCCCAGTTCTGATTGGCCGTCACAAGGTCCCCAAGGACCGCTACTCTGCTCCCTCGTCTTTCCCAGCAGTTGTCATGGAGCTGTCAGACCATGAGGTCAAGAACTATTTCACACCAAAGGACTTTACAATTGGAAAAACCGTATCAATCTATGGACGTCGCTTCATTTTGTATGACTGTGACAACTTCACAAAAGCTTTCTATTATCACAATTTTGGACTAACAGATTTCAACACGGTTGATGTCAAGGGCCTGACAAAGAATCTTCCTAAAATGGTGAGTAATTTAAAAAAACCATGAACATACAATGTACATACCTGGAACTCAAAATCCTTGAACTTGCTGGATAATCAGCTTTGTAAGACTCTGGAAGAAAAGGGCCTTAGGTAACATGGCCTACAAACATGACAGGCAATCAACATTTTTTCTGAGGATCATCTGTGAAGCCCATTTCTGGTGTCTCCTGACGTGATATTGCTGGAATATTGCTAAAGGCAGCAAAAAACTCAAATCACTCACTCACTCTGAGGAGTAAAATGTGTCCAGACAAACATGCACTTCAGTTATTTACCCAAACCAAAGTATTTGTAAGAACCCAACACTCTAGTGGACAAGAAACCTTCAACAGACTTTTTGCAACTTTTTAATCAGTCCAGTTTCAAAAGGCAAAGTTCACTATACTGATCTGAAATATTGAGGTTGTTGTCAGCAACTTCGATTCACTCCCAGACGTATTGTTACCATCATTCATAGGGCTGCCATCATTCATAGGGCTGTAATCGTGTAAGGATTCGGTCACACTGGTGGCAGTTTAACACCAAGATATCATGGTTTTAGATGTTCAGTTTTGAAGAGCTAATGAAATATTGTGGCATTTTATTTGTTGTGTCATTGTCAGAGAACTATGAAGGCATTTGTTGAGCCCCTGATATTTCTTCCATTCCAGGAGATTCCACCATACAACAATTTTGGGTCAATGGAGGACTCCCTCCAGTCCTGCCTGTCACTGGTGCCTCAGCCACCCAAGAAAGACTTCATCAAGATGCTGGAAAATGATCACAAAGTCCTCAGATTTGAAGCCATCATGGTAAGCAGGCTATGAACAGTGCTATCCCCGATGTCTTATGCTGTATATGAAAACATTAAGGAAGAAGCAACTAGTATACATCCAAATCTGCTCTAGAAGAGGAAAATCAAAATCTAATACATTTCAAAGAAGAGTATGAAAGTTCACCCAAAAATGATTGCTTTCAGTTTCTATTAGGACAGCACTATTTACAGATAGGGTATATAAAGTTTCAACTTGTTTGATTCTAACTCCAATTATTTTTGTTCAAAATGAAGGGAGACCCCGTTTAAATATTCTTGTGATTATTCTAATATCTAGAAAGTGATATTAGAATGTTATCACAAGACACTTTTGTTGAGTGAGAGCTGACTGGTAATCATTTGTAGACAATCTCTAAAATGATTATTGTGGAGGTTTCTTATAAAATTAGAATGTAATGTCAGACCTTCCCAAAATGGTTAAAACCTGTATATACTTGTTTATAGAGTAAGGTCAGAAGTGAATTTCAAAATGCTGTACACTAACACTGTACCTTGGGTATTCTTGAGCTACACTCAACTTTGTTCTTTTTTCATGACTACAGGATTCCGTCAGGCCAGAGGACACAGGTCGCCGGTTCATCTTGGCTTACCGTCTTGCTGATGACATGATGACCATCTATGAATCTCCTGTCAGAAACTCCGGCATCATTGGTGGCAAGTTCTTGGAACGGACACGCGTTGCCAAGCCTGGAACTACTCCTGAGAAACCCGAATTCTATGGGCCTCAGGATTTCCACATTGGAGCAGTTGTTGAAGTCTTCAAACACAGGTTCATCATCGTCGGCGCCGATGCCTATGTGCTTCACTACATGCAGGAACACAGTGGCCAGTTTCCAGGTATGTCGCCATGGCATTATTTACGTCCTAGAAGTATTTCAGAGCTGACAAAGCCAAGTATACACATGGAAATAAGTATCGCAACACTACATATTGTTCATTGTATCGATATGTTACCACTTACTACAGCAAAGGAACTTATCCAAACTAACCCTCAAGGAATAATTAAACAGCAAATGTAGATGTAATAAAGAATGAAAAACTGTAGTTTATTCAGAGAAACAAACATTCTGTAGTGTGTTTCCAGTTACCCATGTTCACACATAGTACGTTAAACCCTTTCTTGGTCATACAATTCCCCACCTGCCCTCGTATGACGTTAAGCACGGTCATACAATTCCCATGAAATCACAAAAGTAGCAATCACAATGATTGTAGATGTTGAATTTAACGTTGAGGTATTGTGTTCCATTCTTGATGGAGGGCTTGTTCCAACACATCAAGATTTTATACTGGAGGATCTTTCTGGCATATTCTGAGACCCATAATGTTCCACACACCTCTTGACATAGGGAATCACCAATGGGACAAAGTAGATGTGTGGACACTGAGGGTTATATGCTTGTTACTGATTATAAGTTTCATGTTTTTTCAATGTAGGACAAATCCAGGATTTGATGCTGATGTTCAATATTTTCAGAGCAAACCATCCAGTCTCTGCGTGAGGCTCTGGGCAGATCACAGGCACAGAAAGAAGTTGTGAAGGGCGGACTCATGAAAGTAAAGAGAGCGTAAGTATTTATAACTTGTTTTCTATTTCTATGTGTCTTACCTGACTGGATAAATAGTGTTGGGAATTGGTTTTATTTCTCATAATTGATGATTGGTTCATTACAAACGATCAATCATCGAAAATAATTGGTTAGCGTTATTTATCAAAATTTCCTGTTTATGTTTGTTAATCCACAAAAAATAAAAAAGACATGTAGTTCTTTTTTTTTTTCAAAAGGATGACTAGTATGTTAGGAACATAAATTTCCTGGAGTCTTTAAGATAAATTCAATTATGACTTGGAACGAGCTTGCAGTGCTTATGAAATGTAACAAACAAAACCATCCTTGTGAAAAATATTGTTAATGCTAACAAGTGTTCCAAAATTGTTTGTGTTCGATTATGAGAAAACATGATCGATTGCTTGGTTGTTTAGTCATTGCGACCAATCTTCGATTAATTCAATTAATTGGACCACCACTACTGGATAAGATCTGTTCCTGATGATAAATGTAATTTGAACTGCTGATTATTATATGGTTAAGTGTTAAATACAAGAATGTTCATTTGTATGAATGACAATCTACATTTTATTTGCAAGATAAACTTAAGGAACATTGGTAAAACTGTTTTATCTCCTCACAGGGAAGGCGACCTTGAGAATCTTGTCCGACAGGTTCGTGCCCAGCTGAAGAAGATTGCCATCACTGACAAGAGCCGTGTGGATGAGATGTTCCTCAGATACGACTCAGACCGCACTGGCTACATCGACTGTAACAACATGCGAGATCTCTGTCGCAGACTCCAACTCCCTGTAGATGATGATGTCATTGAAGCAGTAAGTAGCAGCCATATTTACAATCCACAGATTCATGTCAATATTTATTTTCTGCCTCTAATCAGCTGGAAGTGTAGGTACTGGTACTATGGATATGTTGTTTATCGACTACAAAGGTAACAATCTCTTCATATGAAAATGAAATGAAAACTTGAGACTTATTTCTTGGTTTCCAAATTCTTTGTGATATTGGTTCTAAGAATTACACTTTCATGCTCTTGATACAAAGGATAGTTATGGCACTAAGACTGGAAAAAACACCTGAACAAGACGTTTGAATCTACTATCTGGTCCTTAGATGTAATCTGAATATTTTGCAATTCACCTATTTCATGAAACCACCATGTCCTGTCAGTTTATCAGGGATACTATTCAAAACAGCATTAAATCCAACCCACTCACTCATCCATACAGGTTACACCAATATTTTCCCATTGATTTCTACAGTATTGTTATATATTTTTAAAAAAATAATAATTAAGCTATCAACAGCTGTTACATGTACATGTGTGCATAGACTGGCCTTGAAGAAGCAATAAATAATATAAAATATGACCACCTCAGTATGCTCTTTTTCTGTGGACAGAAAGTTAAACAGACCAACCTTAGTTCCGCACAAAATGTCAACCGCTTGAAAATACCTGTGGTCACAATCAGTATAAATAATCCTGTCAAAAAAAGACTACACTAAATATTAAAAAATATGGTCAGTTTTAATTGCTGAGTGAATATACATTCAGAAAACACAAAAATTATACACAAAATCCCCAAATCACAGATGATTCTGTCTGCACCGAAGGCTATAAAAAGTCCTTTTTATAACTACAGATTCTGATTTGGTGGAGTATAACCAGTAGGCCATTAAAACCTGCCAGAGTAACATTAGATGTTGGTATTTGAACACCACTTCATGAACATCTCCACAGTTCATAGTTTTTACCTCTGTTATAAGAGATGTTTTCTTTGTTTCAGCTCGTCAGCCAGTGCTCTGTTGATGGTCAAGGGAGAATCAGTCTGGAAGATTTCCGCAGATTTGTTGAGAGCTCATAAATCACCATAGTCCTAGTGTATATTGTTTGAAATTGTAAATACCAGGTGAAGACTTCTACTGTACAGAAAATATTCTGAATATATCAACATTGAAATATGAACACTTGTCAGTATCTAATGTTTTTCCCCAAACATTTTCAGTTGAAGTAAAACTTAACTTGAATTTCATGGTAATGAACACAAAGACCCGAGGGTCATGTTTTAAGCATGACATTGAAAGCAAGAATGTTATTTTTTAACCATGACAATGAACACAAAAATGATGTCATGTTTTTGAGCAGTCATATTTTCCAAGCAACTGAAGTATCCAGTCTCTATCACAATTATCCTTCTTTCCTTGAATGTTTGTGTTTTGTCATCTTTGTACTGATTTTAAGACATTTTGCCCATTTTACATTAACTAGAAACCATTCATCACAGTTGGCACATGAACTCTAGAAGATAATTTCACATATATACAGAAGGTTGAGACTGCTGATACAAATGCCAGTTTTATTTTATACATTTTAGTTGTCAGCTCTGAAAGTCAAAGAAACTGTTGTATTGTTATTTTATCCTGACTTTTTACTTGTACACCTATGCATGGCCACATGTTTGCTTATTGTAACATACAACTACATTCTGTGATATAGCAATGTTGCTGGAATAAAACATTTATATACACATTCAAATTGTGTTTTGTTAATAAAATTCTGCCATCTATATCTGACATGTTTCTTGATCCAAAGATGCACTGGTTGCACAAGATTCAAATAAACTGTAGAGTTGCATCCCTTTGGGTGGCAGGATCTCCTGGGTATGGATGCCAGATCTGCTCCAGTTATTATCTTTTGTCTTTCAGCACAATGACATTTCATGGCTTCCACATGGTAAACAGCAACAGAGGCATATGTACATAAACTGCCTATGGATGTGATTCACATAATGCAAGAATAACCTTGAAGTTGTACTTTGTGAGAATATTATCTTAAAACATCAACAACCCATTGCTTCTCTTAATGTATTTACATATGCCTTGCATTGTAGGAAAATTATTAATATGCTCTATAATAATAATGCATTCAAATATGACTTCACTTTTGGGGTAAGTCAAGCAATAAATAGCCAACATGTGAAGTCAGTGATCCAACTGACTCAGCCACCAAGGCTTCACTGTTCAAGCCTTCAGTGACAATGGGTTTAGCCATGGGATTTGGAATGCTGCTAGTTTACTTTCAGAGGGGTACACAAAGTACCTGATCAAGACTACCAGTTGTCAAACTTCCATTATTTAAGAAAGCTGATCGTTCCTGCAGCAAATGTTTGGAGGACATCCTTAGGGTCTGGGTTGGGGTTACTAAACCCTGCCCCTGATTAATTCATAGCCTACTCACTTTTATAATGAATTCAGATATGGTATGTTTTAAAAATATATAATATATAACTCATTTGAGTGTCTGGAATGATTGGAAGTCTTATTTATGGAAGCCTGTGTGTCGGAATGAGTTGTCCTGAGTGCCTGAGCCTGACGGTGTGGGTTCTAGTGCCTAATGGGGCAGTGTAATTTGTAGATATTAACTTAAAGAACATTTCATATCAAATATAAGATTTGTTACCCTGAATAAAAATTAAATCGAACAGTACCTTTCTATCTGACCAAACAAGAGGCAAAACATTGGTCATCTCTTGGGTCCTTTAAGTGAATTTTGTGACAGGGACTGTCATTCGTAATCAATCCTGACATTGGCGCGTTGATGTCGTGTGGTGTGAGTGGATTCTGAAGTTTGAAGTGTCAATTGCACGGCTTCCACGGTCCATTTGTTCCCGGTGTGTTGTGTCACGCTTTGTAACTCGTGAATTCCGTGCAGCACACTAACTACAGTCAATCCGACTCGTGTTGGGCGAACTACAGACCCAGGGGCGGATACAGCTTTTTGAGAAAGGTGTGTGTTCAGGGGTGCACATTTCATTTTCACCCGAGTTTTAATGGTCATTTAACAAACTTTCAGCACAAAAGGGGCTGCGCACCCCTGCAAACACACACACCCGCCTATGAGGCCCGTGCACCCTCAAGACGTACTTTCCATAGACCCCCAGTGTATCCATGAAGTGACTTCAGGATATCTTTGTGAGAGGCACATCAAATTTCCGAGCACTTTTATCATCACTTGTGTATGGTTCCACAAGGCCGCCATGTAAGAGGAGTTCACGGAACTGTACATATGTTGATTAGATTGTTGCCATTCGACAAATCAGCAACGGAAAATTAAACAGAAATTATGTGATTATAGGTAAGATGATTCCTCATAAATGTGCAAACTTTGACTTGGATCTTACGAAAATTAAATTATATATGCTTCACTAAATTAGTATGCAAGTCTATGGAAATTACATCAAGTGTCCGAATACTTTTTGCCCAGCTTGAAGCTTGGACGAACTGTAGAGCTTGTGTGTTTCGTCGGGTTTGATTGATGTGGATTCGTAAATTTGACACGGAATTCACGCATTTGACTGCCTCAGTCTTTCTAGCAGTCCCTGAACCACATCATTTCCCCTTCTGCCCAGCCTTCCCTGCAAGGGTAAAGACCTAATAAAGCAAGTCTAGGTTTCCTCATAGTCTATCAGGTTCTGAATCTCTCTTGTCAATGGGGCTGCTTTTTAATTTAAAAGGAATTGTTTGTTTCTATCAAAATCATATATATTCAGAGACTAAGCGTCAGTCTAACTGCCTCATTGCGATACTGTGTTAGCAATTCAAACGTTTTATTTTCGTTTTGATTTTCGTTATAAAGTTCTTGAAAGGAATTTAGAAGTTGGACGGCTATGAATACTTGACACGGTTTTTTTTATAACAACCGAAAATGTTTGGGTTTTTTGTGTGTATTTTTTTACTGTATTTTTTAAGCTTCTGCTGGCAAGTTTATACATATTACTCTTTATAACTGTACTTTACGAAAAAATGTGAACTTTAGTATACTGGTCGTGAGAACGTGAGTTTCATTAAAGGAATGTGAGACTCATGGCCAAAACGTGAGAGTTTACATGTTTGCGGCTGGCACGTTACTGAAGATTTTATGTTCGCTTCATCTTATAGCAGATGCTATGATCATATGATCTACAATGTAATATTATTATGCACGCCTCAACTATATCATGACCGCACTCATGTACATAATGCCCACTTTTGAGTGCAGTAATGTTAACTTCAAATGTTCTCTCAAAATAACTCAATATTTGATATTTTATCAAAAGAGAGTCACGGGCTTGCGAATGTTGAGTAAACCTTTCTTGCATTATATCTCTTTTGTATCATGACATGTACATTTGCAATAGCGAAGTAGGTACAACGTTTGGATTTCATAGAGTATTTGAACGATATCACTTTTCTAGGACCGTTGACCCGTGAAGATCTGGATTAGAATTGGTCTTTTAGGACCGATGACCCGTGAAGATCCGCATTAGAATTTATCTTCCGCAACCTATGCTTGTAAGAGGCGACTAACGGGATCGGCTGGTCAGGCTCGCTGTCTTGGTTGACACGTCATCGAATCCCAGTTGTGTAGATAGATGCTCATGCTGTTGATCACTGGATTGTCTGGTCCAAACTCGATTATTTACAAACCGCCGCCATATAGGTCGAATATTGTTGAGTGCGGCGTTAAACAACAAACAAACAACTCTAGGGTAGTCTTAAGCGCTTATAAGGTCCCTGTACCACCACTCACAGGAATAAAAATGTAAATGTGCGATAAAATTACAAATATATTTCATTTTACCAAACACTAAAGGACATTCTGCACCGCAAAGATTAATCGAAACAAACGTTGGAACAATATGACACGAGCTTTCTTCGTACCTCCGTGACATGAAACATATCTTCGTACTTCCGTCCAAGGTGACGTCAGGTAAACGCAGAACGAAATTTGACCGCCCAGTGTGAACGAAAGTCACGTGGGTTCTTGAGTCAATTAGATGCCCTGTTTCTGAAACTATTCAGCTTTATTGGTTTTGCATCCGGATCTCGTCGATTATCATCGTTTTCGACATAATTTATTTTATACGTTTTGCTCTTTCGTACCAAGAACGTAAAAACGCCGACGCCGTTTGGAATAGACGCTGACCTGACTTCAGTGGTGTCATTGGAGTGAAACAATTTAAATAAATGAGATCGGTACGATTTAATCTTCGCATGTTGGTTGGTTTAGGGTAATGTTCCCGATGGTTGTTTGTGGGAGCGAATGAGGCGCTCATAAAATGACCCAAGGTGTTAGGTAGATAAGGTTTAGGCGACCTTGGGCCTTAAAAGGCCTATATGTGATACCCACGACAGTTGGTAAACAGCGTTATCTCCCTTACCTGTTTAAATGCATCCTATGTGTTTCAATATAATTTATTGATTGTTCCTCCTCTTTAAATTATGGTGTGGTTACAGTCTTCAAATTTAGTTCTGTACGAACTAATTGCTTGGTTAACCGTAGCGTTTCAACTTGGGAAATATCCACGTTGTGGACTCGTCAAACAACGACGTCGACAACGGCGAAAACGTCAAGTGTAGTGTAGGATGTAGACACCAGTGTTGGTGATAAATATGACGGAATTGAAATACAGTATGAATGTACAATATCCAAAACACAATCACGCTGACATTTATTCATTCAAGACACATTCAACGACGTGACGTCACAACAACACATTACCGGCTATCGATATTTTCTTGGCGACGGTACCCCCGAGGTAGTAGTTACAGTATTCATTCGTCACGGTGAAGACCGGATCCAAGTCCCCATAGACGTACACTATGTGAAGTCCCTTCATGTCTCCCGGCGTGATGTTGCCGGAATCGAGCTGAACCTTCAGTAAAATCACACTCGATCCCGACAACTGGACATAACGATACATTAAACATTTCATAGTTTGGTGTCAATAGTTTCCTCAGAAATAGTTTCCTCCATGTAACTGGTTTTCCGCCGCCGCATCCAGAGCTCCAGAGTGAAAAAGACAGCACCCATTACCACGGCCACTCCACTAGCGAGGTAAAACATCAGTAGGTAGTCCCCCGTCACGTCTCTGATGGCGCCTGTTGAGAGAGTTGTACACTAACAATTCCGAAAGCTGAACTCTTACAGCTGTATTGTGACGAACATGTGGATGTTCCCAGCCATGGTTACACTATAACACAGATACCGCCAGTGTACATATTTACAGCAATATCAGAACATTTAACTGTATCTTTGCACTAACGATAAAGGCGCGTGCCCCTTTTTTATATGTGAATAAAATTGTTCGGATTGCCAATTGTCTTGGACTTTATTAGGATTTCATGTAAGAACACAAAAAGCAAATCAATGGGACTTCAGGCGACTTCTGGTACTTATAACGGCAGTTCAGCTGGGTGTAGATATAGTTTGGACCCGGAAGTCCTTCGTGTGTGAATGATGGTTCACTTACCACTTACAGGCCCACTATCTATAGCAGAGAGAAATGATGGTTCACTTACCATGCACTTATAGGTCCACTATCTATAGCAGAGAAAAATGATGGTTCACTTACCACTTATACGCCCACTAGCCACAGCAGAGAGAAATGATGGTTCACTTACCATGCACTTATAGGCCCACTATCTATAGCAGAGAAAAATGATGGTTTACTTACCACTTATAGGTCCACTAGCTGTAGCAGAGAAAAATGATGATTCACTTACCATGCACTTATAGGCCCACTATCTATAGCAGAGAAAAATGATGGTTTACTTACCACTTACAGGCCCACTATCTATAGCAGAGAAAAATGATGGTTCACTTACCACTTATAGGCCCACTATCTATAGCAGAGAAAAATGATGGTTCTCTTACCATGCACTTATAGGCCCACTATCTATAGCAGAGAAAAATGATGATTCACTTACCACTTATAGGCCCACTATCTATAGCAGAGAAAAATGATGGTACACTTACCACTTATAGGCCCACTATCTATAGCAGAGAAAAATGATGGTTCACTTACCACTTATAGGCCCACTATCTATAGCAGAGAAAAATGATGGTTTACTTACCACTTATAGGCCCACTTTCTATAGCAGAGAAAAATGACGGTTCACTTACCACTTATAGGCCCACTATCTATAGCAGAGAAAAATGGCGGTTCACTTACCACTTATAGGCCCACAAGCTATAGCAGAGAAAAATGATGGTTCACTTACCACTTATAGGCCCACAAGCTATAGCAGAGAAAAATGATGGTTTACTTACCACTTATAGGCCCACTATCAATAGCAGAGAAAAATATGGTTTACTTACCACTTATAGGCCCACTAGCTATGTCCGAGAACCCGGACAGTCCGAACATGTAGGACAAGGCGGACGAATAGGTTCCTGGGGTGGTCATTTTAAGCAGGACAATTGGTATGGACACATCCACCATGGCCAGCAGTACGCCATGGCCTATTGCCAGCGTTATCATCACGCCATATGAAGTAAAGAAGACGAAGCAGAGACTCAAGGCCCCGCTTATAACCAGAGACGCTGAACAGGAGATGAGTGGCGGGATGTGGAACACGGTGTCCAGCATTCCGCCCAGTAAACTCCCAGCTACATGTGCTAACGTCATGGCGGACAGGAGGAAGGACGCAGCTTCCAGGTCGTAGCCCCTGGTTTTAGCAACGTCTACGATGAAGACGACGACACCGGTATAGAAGCACCATATCACTGGCTGACAGAGTAGGAATATCATGTATGGTACATTCTTGAATAAATGAAGATTGAGGGATTTGACGAAAGACTGGGGCTTGTGATCCTCCTCTAAAGTTTTCATTTTGTAGATAGGATTCGTTAAACAACGGACCAGAAATCCCAGGACACAAATGTTAAAGTTGACACCTGCCTGAAGGAGGAATGTCCCCCTCCATCCATACACGCCCAGCACAAGTCTGTTATACTGCGGGAATACGAAGGCGCCAAGCCCTGCCCCTGCCGTTATGAAGGACACTCCAAGGCCTTTTTTCTTCACAAGAACCCGTCCTGTTGCTATGTAGGAGGATAGATGCGCGAAACACATTCCAAAACCTGTAACGAGTGAACAATGAACCACATTAGCAAGGGCAACTGATGCCATTCTTCAGAACAAAATATAAAGCATTTCTACAATCTCAGCAAAATCAGACATCGGGTCTATTTACCGCTTGTGAGACATCTGATTAATCCCATTAAACCCGTGAAGATCCGGGCTAGAATTGGTCTTCAGCAACCCATCCTTGTCGTAAGAGGCGACTAACGGGATCGGGTGGTCAGGCTCGTTGACTGGGTTGACACATGTCATCGTATCCGAACTGCGTAGATCGATGTCCATGTTGTTGATCACGAGATTGTCTGGTCCAGACTCGATTATTTACAGACCGCCAATGTATAGCTGGAATATTGCTGAGAGCGGCGTAAAACTAAACTCACTCACTCACTTCCCATTAAAGGTCTCGTCAGGACGACCTTACGCCATCTTCCCGACGCAAGGGAGTTAACTGACAATAAAAATGCAGTTTCCACCCTTGCCCAACAAGTCTCGAATTTTGACTTTTGTGTTTTGCACAGTCAAAACAAAATCACGTAATCGAAATCCGCTTTTTAAACTACCCTAAGGATTTCGGTCCCTGAAGGGGATTAGTAGAACATGAGGCCGCCAGTCGGGCTGACGATATCGACAAATATGTTCTAAATATTTAAATGTAATAAAGAAGATGATCAAGTAAGTTGGTTGCGGTAAGACCCGTTTTATACCAACGTATATCTTGGCTGTCGATTAGATCGTCTTTACCGGGGGCAGCCATTTTGTTTGTAAGAAATGCCGGTAATACGAGAGGTAGAATCTGATTGGTCAGCAACAGGGACATAGAAAAAACCTTGTAAAAATAACTGTTCGAGTCACGAAATTCTTGCCCTGTTCACCAAACTGGACTTTTGTATGTGCATTTCGGGGAGATGATTTTTACGAATTTTGACCAACATTTCAGTCTAAGTAAACTTAGGCTTAGTCTGTCTCACAGTCCCTGAACCACATTCATTTCCCTACTGCCAAGCTCTCTTTGCAGTGCTAAAGCCCTAAATAAAGCAAGTCTAGATTTCCTCAGGTTCAGGATCTCTGGTCTCCCTAGGGCTCCTTTTCAATATAAATGGGCTTGTTTGTTACCATCAAAATTATATATATTCAGAGACTAAGCCTTAGTCTAGCTTAGGCTCAGTATTATTCGTTACACTGCTATACTGAGTCTAACAAAACCTAGTAGAAGGTCGCGTTAGCTAACCTTTGAGGGACCTATGACCGTCCAATCAAACGCGAGACGGCCGAACGGATTTAACCAATCAGACAACGACTCCTTGTTAGAGTTCGACGCCATTCGTCACCACTCGCCCCTTTCCGTTACCTCGCTATTCGGCTTGTCCCGGAATAACACGAGTTGGTCACGAATGGCGTTTTGTCATTCGTGACCAACTTCGTGTTATTCCGGGACAAGCCGAATAGCGAGGTTACGGAAAGGGGAGTGGTGACGAATGAACAAGTATCGAGTGGGGACGAGTCTTCTGAGGTTACGGAAAGGGCGAGTGGTGACGAATGACAAAACGCCCCATATCGCCACCACTTTGCCCCTTTCCGTAACTTTGCAAGAGGCGCAGCTTGTCGGTCGTAACTTACGCACTTGTGCAACGTCTACGATGAAAACGACGATTTAATTCGGTATAGAAGCACCATATCACTGGCTGATGAGCAGGAAATATCATGTACGGTACATTCTTGAATAAAATGAAGATTGAGGGATTCGACGAAAGACTGGGGCTTGTGGATCCTCCTCTCTAAAGTTTTCATTTTGTAGATAGGATTCGTTAAACAACGACCAGAAATCCCAGGACACACATGTTAAAGTTGACACCTGCCTGAAGGAGGAAATGCCCTCCATCCATACACGCCCAGCACAAGTCTGTTATACTGCGGGAATACGAAGGCGCCAAGCCCTGCCCCTGCCGTTATGAAGGACACTCCAAGGCCTTTTTTCTTCACAAGAACCCGTCCTGTTGCCGCGAAACACATTCCAAAAACCTGTAACGAGTGAACAATGAACCACATTAGCAAGGGCAACTGATGCCATTCTTCAGAACAAAATATATAAAGCATTTCTACAATCTCAGCAAAATCGGACATCGGGTCTATTTACCGGTATTGAGGACACTGATTAATCCCATTAAAACGAAGATCCGGGTAAGAACTATCTTCAGCAACCCATCCTTTCACTCGTAAGACGACTAACGGGATCGGGTGGTCAGGCTCGTTGACTGGTTGACATATGTCATCGTATCCGTACTGCGCAGATCGATGTCCATGTTGTTGATCACGATTGTCTGGTCCAGATTCGTTTATTTACAGTCCGCCACCATAGCTGGAATATTGCTGAAATCGGCGTAAATCTAAACTCACTCAGTCACTTCCCATTAAAGGTCACGTCAAGACGACCGTATTATCTTCACGACGCAAGGGAGTTAACTGAGAATAAAATGCATTTCCACCCTTGCCCAAGAAGTCTCGAATTTTTTACTTTGTGTTTTGCGATAGTCCAAAAAATAATCACGATCGAAATCTGACTTTCAAACTACCCTAAGGTCTTTGGTCCCTTGATGAGGGGATTAGTAGAACATGCAGGCCGCCAGCCGGGCCGATTGACGATATCGACAGATATTTTTAAATATTTAAACGTTTTAAAGAAGATGATCAAATCCGTTACTGCGGTAAGACCCGTTTTATACTAACGTATATCTTGTCCTGTCGGTTGTTAGTCTCTTTACAGGGGCCACCATTTTGTTTGAAAGAAACGCCGGTAAGTCAAGAGGTGAAATCTGATTGGCCAGCAACAGGGACATACAAAAACTTGTGAAAATAACTGTTCGAGCTTCACGAAATTTTGCCTTGTTCACCAAAGGAGGAAACTGGACTTTGTATATCCATTATCGTGGAAGATGAAGTTTACGGATTTTGACCGACATTTGAAATGACAAGACTTGGATGTTAGCCGGTCGGGACAAAGACGATGACGATGAGTCAGTAGTCCGTGAATCAGTACGCAGCAGTAGCCCGTGACCGTTGTTTTGTTTGAATGTTTGATAGTAATTTTGGAAATATATAATCTAATTTTGCAACCGTATATTGTTTTATATATTATGAGTGACAATATACGGTTACAAAAATCTAGATTTTTATTTTAAAAATTATCGATGTCCAAACAGTGATTCGAACCACTGTGGTTAGGTATCCCGTGCTAACCTGTTCCTGTATGGATGATTAGAAAATGCAATTGCCACTTTCTCTCCCGATCACCCTAAAGGGCAGATTGCCATGGCAACCAAGAACCTTTACCACGGTGATATGTGATGATCTTATTAAAAATATCACATGGCATTTCATCGTTAATTTTTATCAATTTACATTTAAATACACACGTCGTTATCGAAGGATTAACTTCTGTTGAGAAAAAATATCCCTGAAACTTAGGGGACGGTGGGTAGCCTGGTGGTTAAAGCGTTCGCTCGTCACGCTGAAGATCCGGGTTCGATTTCCCACATGGGTACAATGTGTGAAACCAATTATCTGGTATCCCCACCCGTGATATTGCTGGAATATTGCTTAAATCGGCGTAAAACTAAATTCATTTACTGACTCCCGAAACGTGTATTCCATTTCCGAAGTTATTGTTTGTTTTCATTGGTTGTACGGGTCTACGTGCCGCAATCGAGATAAGCCAATATTATCATACACTTGAATGTCGCAGTTGTATTGACATATCTACTAAAAAAGTATGTAATTATGCAAAACAATGTGTAAAGCCGACCGAAAGGCTTGCATTATGTCAGTCTTTCGATTTTAGAATAAGCGCGCGTGTCCACCATCAAGAGTCCGGTCACGTAATAGGCAAATTAGCCTGTGTTTGTGATGGTAGGTCATGACTATGCCGCATTGTATCTACTGTCTGGTCTATAGAATCTCTGCTTGGTCGGATGACAGGTCGGTCTGACCAATGGGTTGTCCCCAGATACACATTTAAAGGTATCGATCGAGTTTTAATATCTGACTGGTCAGTGAATTTATAGAACGAGAGGTGTTTAAATGCAGCTTAAAATCTTCCAAATGGGCTTTCTACAGAATTCAGTAATGACATATCTTTCTAGTAATTTTACTAAAATTTGAATTTCCATGTCTTCCAACAATTTCTTGTCATGATGAAATTTTGTTTTATTCCTCACGGGTGAGGTACAGCAGTTTGAAAGGGAGAAGTGTGAATTTCGTGTTAACCTCATTACGCCTTAAATAACATCAAGCTACCATGATCTATCAACATCGGTGATCGGAAAAAAAGTAACAGGAAAAAAAAGAAACGGAAATAAGTAACAGATTTTGCTAGGAAAAAGAGTAACAGGAAAAAAGAAACCTTTTTCAGTTTTTTGTTTTTTATGTATTAACAAAGTATAACAAAACAATTACAAGCACATTTTTTGCATCCATAAGCAATGTTCTCAGTTCTCAGTTCTTACTAAATGTTCTTATTGAGTCTAATGTTCTGGCCAACCCCAGGAATTCGGAGATGGACAGGCTGCCGGCTGCATAGTAGCCGCGTACAGGGTTTTGAGTCTAAGCTGGAGTGACTCCATATTCTTCTTCCTCCTTGTTTTGGGGGCATAACCCCAAGGGTTAAAATCAGGGACAACAATCTCAACATTCATATCAACATTCAACTCATTCAGCTTATCTACAATGGCCTGAAACAATATCTCAGAAAGTGCGACATCATCTAGAGCAAAACGTGACCACCAATCTATATCAAAGTCTAGCCTCCATTTACATTTAAAAGGTCACATGCAACGCAAAACACAACTTTGCAGATTCGATACCTTTCGGTATGGACTTACAGTAACAAATTATCAAAATGCAAATTCAACTTATAAAGTTGAAAAATAACGCGATGAAAACACCACGCGAAATCGGAGTTCAAACGATTCACTAATGTCACCCCGCTGGAATGAAAAGTGGTTTCAACAACTGTGCTGCACTGCGCCCATAGCGCATGCGCAGTGATTAGGTTCGCGCGGCTTTGAACGGGAAGGTGACTAGCAGAGCGTTGCGTGCAAGGATTATCGCTGTGGTCGAAGTTGGAGAACAAAAAGATGTTTTTGGAATTCGGAGATGGACAGGCTGCCGGCTGTATAGTGTGTACACAGGGTCTTGAGTCTAAGTGTGAAGCCCATTTCTGGTGTCCCCCGCCGTGATGTTGCTGGAATATTGCTAAAAGCGGCGTAAAACCAAACTCAGTCAGTCTCTTGAGTCTAAGCTGGAGTGACTACATATTCTTCTTCCTCCTTGTTTTGGGCATAACCCCAAGGGTTAAAATCAGTGACAACAATCTCAACATTCATATCAACATTCAACTCATTCAGCTTATCTACAATGGCCTGAAACAATATCTCATAGAAAGTGCGACATCATCTAGAGCAAAACGTGACCACCAATCTATATCAAAGTCTAGCCTCCATTTACATTTAAAGGTCACATGCAACGCAAAACACAACTTTGCAGATTCTGATACCTTTCGGTATGGACTTACAGTAACAAATTATCAAAAATGCAAATTCAACTTATAAAGTTAAAAAAAATCGCGATGAAAAACACCATGCGAAATCGGAGTTCAAACGATTCACTAATTTCACCCCAGCACTGGGTTGAAAGTGGTTTCAACAGCTGTGCTGCGCTGCGCCCATAGCGCATGCGCAGTGATTAAGTTCACGCGGCTTGAACCGGGAAGGTTACTCGTAAAAACACAGCAAGTGATGCGTGCAAGGATCATCGCTTTGGTCGAAGTTGGAGAACAAAAGATGTTTCTTGTGAGTACAAACATCTTTGGTCTGCAGTAATATGGATATACTGGTCCCGTACTTTTTCTTATATGTTTTCACATCTTGCTTTTTAGGGTTGGCAGATTTGTAATAAAACCAAGGCTTTTCCATGTTAAGAAACTTACGGTCACCTAGCATTAGAAATAGCATAATTTCTTTGTTAAAAATTGCTCAGCTTGAAAACTGAAATGTTTTAATACATGTCTATGGAAACCCAAAAATATGTTGATTGTGATAAGCAGTCTCTGTCAGACAAAACTCAGTGTCTGTTTTATTGACACCTATGTGTCTGCCTGCCTGTCTGCTAATGACAATATGCAATACACAACTTCAATCATTGACCACATGCAATTCGAACTTGAAACGTATCAGGCTATACACCATAAACAAAATACATTGATTTATGGCTCGTGCACCTGAGTTCTGACGGGCAGGTGTGATACTTGTACACATGACATGTTATTATGTCTGTGGGTTGCAAACAAACTGTCCATATTTCTAGGATAACTAGATCGGACGGAAACCGGTGCAAACTCAGATTGTCAGTTTCAAGTCCTGCTTTGTACTTGAACGAACGACAGTTTCCAGCCACGTAGTAGTTCACCATCTCAGTATTTGTTGATTGGATCGAACGCAAATGCAGAAAAAATGAGCATGTATTTACAAAACCCAACATCTCTATATACACACACACACACGATGAGCCCTCAGCGTATCGGCAAATGAACCAGCCAATGAAAGCCTTCGTTACACTTGAGTGCACACCCACCCGCTCTGACTGGGTTCGGTCTCCGGGTGCTTCGTTTCAAGAACCAAATATTGCACTTTTGATTTGCGATTGTACGCTTATAATTTTGTTTATTTGTTGTTTCATAATAAGCAATGTATATTATATGTCATGAATAAGTGATAATTGTGTTTTAGTTATGTTTGTTTTTTTGGTTGCATGTGACCTTTAAGTACTTAAATGAGTCACCGCCGCAAGGACAAGCCTGGAAATTAGTCTTTGATATGGAGTAGTGGATACTTACGAACTCAGATCAAACTTGGCAAGTAGTTTCCTGATGACTAGTTAACATGTAATTGCACAATTTACATTTCATAATATTATTTGATTCATAGCTATGGATAAATTCGTAGATTAAGAACAAGTTACGCGAAGGTGATTTCCTTTTACTGAACAACTGTTTTTGATCTAGATATTCGTCTAAAGCCGTATTTTCGTGAAAAGGATTATTAAATGCATTAAATCCTACCTGTTATAAATCCAACAGTGACGATGAGGACATCCACGTTAGGGGCAAAGGTAGCTCCCACACATCCAACCATGGACAGGAAGCCTCCCAATATCATGGAGTTGCCAGGGGTCAGCTTGTGCACTATCGGTCCGCATATTAACGCTGTAGAAAATGTGGAACTCATTAACAACTAGCCCAAGTACCATATTTTTAACAGACTTAAAACACCGACTCCATAGAACAATATTATAAAAGAAACTATTCAGGAGGAACTGAATTCAATAATTAATCAATTTAGTCACGAGGTAACATTGGCGTTGTTTACGTCATGGTAGAAAACCTTCGATCACGATTATGTAAAGGTTATTCATCCATAATGTGACCGATGATTAGTCGTACAATTGCTGAAGATTAAATTATACAACCCCATACAGTCCCAGTTATTTGCGAAGAGAACTATATAGCCTTTACCTACTATATCTTACGTGACATTTCACTACAATCCAGAATGCTCTTTCTGCGAAGATGTCAAAGAACGTCATACAAAAAGTGAGAATTTATTATGAGGAACAGACGTGTCGGAGTATATTCTTACTCCTTTATCATTCACCCGAAGATGGAGATATAATATTCCCCGAAACGTCATGTTCCTCAAAATAATGAAGTTGGCCTTTATGTGTCTCATTCTAAAGCTGAGGTTCGACACAGCCCCATAGTGATGACTAAATAAGGAATAAACAGCTACTTCTTTCGAGACAAGCCAAGTTTGACACATCAAATGTCGACACAGGGTTGTTTAATTGTATCGTTTTGACAGATTAAAGGGAGCTGTTTGAACATGTATATACAGTTCACGACTACCACCAGGATGTGCTGTATCACGTGACAGTCGTATACAAACAGGTTCCTGTATGGATTCCTGTATGGATTCCTGTATGGATTCATGCAGGTCGAGGTCCAACTAGACTTCTGTATGTTAACTGAGGTTAAAGTACATACACCCTGAGAATATTACTCCAATACACAACGACTGCATCAGGGACGTCTGTGCGCGGGTGGTGTTGAAGACGTCGAGGATTTGGACAAACACGACTCCCAGGCCGAGGGAAAAGCCGATACACAGGAAGTTGACGCACATACAGGACGCAAGTACTATGACCTTGGCACGTGACGTCAGTTCCGGTACAGGAGAACTGTGATTACAAAATGGACGTATAAATATCATCAAGTTGTCTCTTTCAAATTCCTAGCCATGGAGATTTACATCGCATATAGTTAATCCTTGTGTCATCAATGCACTGTAAAAATCATTGCATAACTTTGGTTCTTAATTTTGTACTCTGTTCTATTCCTTTACATCTTCAATACTTTGCGGATTTGAATACCCCTGTCTACATTAGGTCGGGTTGCAGTTAAGTCGTCATGTAGTGAACAACGAATAGGCCACGGTATGGTGGCATTGAAAGAGTAAAACACATGCGGAATAGCTATACATACTTCTTAATTGTCAGTCATTAAGGGGCAGATCCAGAGCTTCAAGAAAAGAGGCGTGGTGGAATCAACTTGGTCATATGTAAGTCAGGGACGGGAGAGAGGAAATAAAGTCCATCCAAAACCAACGAACAAATAACAAACACAATATGTTAACAATATGTCTGTCACTTTAACAACTGAATCGACTTGCTACATAGGTAGGTCATCGTTAGCTGGCTGAAAACCGATGTTTCTGAGACATCGTGGAACGTAGAATATACTGAACTTGGAAACATGGATGATGTTTTTATGACAGGTGGGTTAGAGAGTGAGTGAGTGAGTATGGCGTGGGACGCTAGAATTGGACATCACACATTGTACTCATGTGGGGAATAGAACCTGGGTCTTTGACGTGACGAGCGAACGCTTGAACCACTCGGCTATACGTACAAATACGAATGTGGATTATGTATTGTGTCCTGTTGACGGTTGGTAATCACGGAGGATGCTGGGATTAGAGAGACCCTCTATATTCCATCCCCACTCCAATCCTATAATTATTTGATCGTACTTTTCCACTATGCACATGCGTCCATACAAATTCGTGAAGATCCGGGTTAGAATTGGCCTTCAGCAAACCCATGCATGGCGTAACACATCGTACCCCAATTTCGTAGATCGATGCTCATGATGTTGATCACTGGATTTTCTGGTCCAGAGTATTGACCGCCGCCATATAGCTGGAATATTGTTGACTGTGGCGCTAAACCACAGACAAACAAAAATTTCCAACCTTATATCAACATTTGATCTGATCCAATCCAAACCTGTTGGCCTGACTGGAACATGTAGAATCAAGTCTCGAGGTTTGTAACCAATATGATCTATGCGCCAGTATACCATAATAAGCCTGTACTGTGTATCATTGTGTATCGATGATTCAAGTGACCTTGTTCCAGTTCCAGGAAACCAGCAAGTATTCCTGCTAATGAGCTCGTAGATTACATCGCACAAACAGTAATGCTGGCATGGTGCTCAATACACTGCCTCTATATCGGAGAATGGTACAGGGTTCGCGCACAGTTCATGTTCAGTGTGGGGCTTTCTTGACTTCCGTTATTCTGGCTTTATTTCACTGGCTTATGGGAATAAGACATACGTACAACACAACAATATATTCAGGGTGATGGAGGATATGGGAGTTTACACACATACCATGATCAAGGACACTGACGGTGATCGTCGTTTGTTTTGTTTGTTTGTTTGTTTGTTTGTTTGATCAATATTCCAGCCACATGACGCCAGCTATAATCGAGTCTGAACCAAACAGTCTGTCATCAATACATCACAGCGATAGGGGGCGGTGGAGTAGAAGAGGTTAAAGCGTTGGCTCGTCTCGTCGAAGACCCGGGTTCGATTCCCCACATGGCTTCAATGTGTGAAGCCCGTTTACGGTGTCCCCTGCCGTGATATTGCTTGGATATTGCTAAAAGCGGCGTGAAACCATACTCACTCACAACGATAGGCGACACGATCAGTGGACTACTAGGTCCAGCAAACCGCCATCGGTTGTTGCGGAGTGGTTGAACAGTATTTCAGTTATATCACGGCGTGTCAGCTTAATGTGGAGGGAGAGCCCGTAGTTATGCAGGTGTCAGACACTTTTGTGAATTCCACGAGCACGTGGATTGGTGCCGACAAACCAAGAAACATAATCTTGGCGAACCAGGAATCTGACCAATGATCCTAGATTGTGGCACGTCCAAGGCGAATTAGAGCGTCTTAGAGGCCCAAGGTCGCCCTAACACCTTACCTACCTACCTACCTACCTACCTACCTACCTATACCCACCTACCTAGAGCGCATTACACGACAGGACCACCTATGTCCTTAATCTAATCACGATCTCGCTATTAAAAGATAGCCTAGTGGTTAAAGTGTCCACACCACAACTTTCTTGGCGTGTAAAGCTGTTACCATTTCTCTGACTTAAGGGGCGGTGGGGTAGAATAGTGGTTACAGCGTTCACCCGTCACGCCGAAGACCCGGGTTCGATTCCCCACATGGGTACAATGCCACATAGTGTAAAACCCATTTCTGGTGTCCTTCGTCGTGATATTGCTGGAATATTGCTAAAAGCGGAGTAAAACCATACTCACTCACTATTAAAAGATCTGAGGTCATCAACGTAATAGCACAATTCATGAGATCTAAATGCTTCAAAGCGCTAAGCCTTTTCATAAGTATAGTTTCATCTATTGAAAGCAGTCGTACGTGGATCTAGACTTCAACCAATTCTGATGTTCCATGATGTTCAGATCTTAACATATTGAAGTTACGACCAGGTGACAGTGGAAGCGTCATTGTGAACCTGAACGACTGTTAGTGACGGCTTTAAACCCGACTGTCTAATGTCACACAAATGTTACAACCAACGTACCTCGTCTCTCCGGAAAGTTGTCCATTGTTCACGTGTGAGGGGAGTTGGTCTACGGTCTTATCGCCACACGCATGTCCATTTCGACCCATCTCTTTTTCCGACTGCCTTGTGCTCAATCCGTTCTGAGTGATGTTGTTCGGGGACACTTTCTTTCCAGTCATTTCTTCAGTAACTCTGTTTGACTCCTGCTCTTTAACTGATGATTCTGTTGTACTTTAAAAACACATATGATATATTACAGCCATTAGGGAGCTTTCTTCAAATAAATAACACAACATATGAGAACTTCGTAAACTACATTTATAACGAGGAACAAGATTATAAAAAATGGCGGATGTCACGAACTGTTTCCCCGTCGCACTTGCTGTTTAGCTTTGTCGAAATGTGTTTAACGAACTAAAATTAGTACTCTCCTTGAGGACGTTGAAACCGTAGTTTTCCCGAGTACTAAATATAGGTTTTACCAAGAAATATGTGTTTCCGTCCTTTTTGGTAAATCACTGAACAGTTCTTCTTCTTCTTTAATCTCAGTTGATTTATTTGACAGATTGAAGTATTATTCTGGTGTTACAATGCGATCACAGATTACTGAATGTAGATGTTAAACCTTTCCTTGCTACCTTTACTAAGGGGGCGGTGGGGTAGCCTAGTGGTTAAAGCGTTGACTCGTCACGCCGAAGACCCGGGTTCCATTCCTCATCTGGGTACAATGTGTGAAGCCCATTTCTGGTGTCCCCCCTTCCGTGACATTGCTGGAGTATTGCTAAACGCGGCGTAAAACCATACTCACTCACTCTCCTTTATTACGATGTGTTTTACTTGTATTATCTTATTGTATACATTGTCGAAGAAAACATCCGCATGTATGTAACGGTACCGGTCGGTTACTTAATTCACTTTCTGGAACCAACCCGTGAAGATAAGGGTAAAAATTGTCCTTCAGCAAGCCAAGCATCTAGACTCACGCTTAGTCTTTGAATATATATAATTTTGATAGTAACAAAAAAACCATATATAATGAAAAGGAGCCCCAGGGAGACCAGAGATTCAAAATCTGAGGAAAACTAGACTTGCTTTCTTTAGGGCTTTAGCATTGCAGAGAGGGCTTGGCAGTAGGGAAAATAATGTGGTTCAGGGACTGTGAGACAGACTACCCATGCATCGTAAGAAACGATTAACGGGATCAGGTGGTCAATCTAAGTGACTCGGTTATGCATGCCATCGTATTCCAGTTTCGTTGATCGACGCTCATGATGTCGACCAGACCCGATGAATTACAGACCGCCCCAGTGTAGAAGGATTATTGCTGAGTGTGGCTTTGGACATCAACAACAAAAAACAACAGGACAGGGACCATTTTTCACGCATGACAGGAAGTCCGGCTGTCAAAATTGGACATCCTCTCAAACCGGACACAGTCACACGCTCCGGCTGATACCACGAATTGTAAAACATGCTTGTGATGCATTTCTCTGCTGGCGTTTGGCTCAGCCTTGACTTGACATCATTTATCTCATACTAACGGATATGCCTGTCCCATTTGTTGGTTGGTGAAACGACATGATTACATATTTTTACATTACTTGTAAAATGCTGAAGTTGAATATATTTCTTTTGTTGTGGTATACGGCCTCTGAAAGCGTTTAAGATTTAATTTATCTCGAAAGTTTTGATAACATTCTCGTAGATTACTACCGACAAAAAAATAGTGAACTGATGATATAACAGTGAATATGTAATTGCTCTAAATGTCCATAAAATCAACTTCGGGCGTGAAGCTCAATAACGTGGTTGGGCGACACAGACACGACACCTTGATGGCATACTGTTGGTTAACTTCCGGATGGTTGCCCGTGGTATTGCCCGCCATTCCGCCTGAAGAGCTACCCCAAGCTGGGCCAGGTTGACGGGTGCGGGGTCCCCTGGCGTACACCCTCCGGCCGAGAACGTCCCACAGATGCTCAATTGGTGACATGTCTGGGGACTTAGAGGGCCAGTCCAATGTCTGAATGCCCTCTCGTTGGAGAAAGCGGTGACGACTTGGGCACGATATGGTCTGGCATTATCATCTTGGAATTATCACCCCACACGATGGCACTACCGCCCTCATACCGATCATGGTTCAGAAATTGCCTCTCTGGCATACCGCTCACCGCTACGGCGCCAACGAAGTTTTCTGCCATTTGTGAATCGGAGGCAAAACCTTGACTGGTGTAACGCTAATGGCGCAAAGCCCGTCCTTGTTGCTGCCTACTGTGCCTAGCCCACATCTTATGGTGAGCTGTGTGAAGGTGAGACCCTTCACAGGCCGCCTTGCTTTAAGACGGGCTTGATGGAGTCGGTTCCTAACGGTTGATACTGACATTCGTCGTATAGTTATTGTACGGAATTCCCTATTGATAACAGGTGCTGATTTGAACCCATTGCGTAGGGTCATTAATGTAATGAGACGATCCTGTCTAGGTGTCGTTGATTTTGGTCAACCACGCCCAGGTCTCATTGCAACCCCACCCGTTTGACGGTACTTGTCCCACAGGCGTGAAATTACACTTTTGGATTTACCCAACATTCGGGCAACTTGGCACAGTAGTGTTCCCCCTCTATCATACCCACAATTCTCCATTTAGTCTGTTCATTGACATATTAGTGACTGCGAGTTCTCCAATAGATGGACACAGTTTAGCTTATGTGTGCACGTGCATTACGTGTTGTTGGAATTTCATTGTGATTGGATGTTGCGTTCAGCTGCAACGCCACGGCATTGCACACGTCCACTTCAACGTCACCTGCATTCAGATTTTTAGTTCCCTTATTTTTGTCGGTAGTATATAACCTGAGTTTCCTTAATATTGCATATTAGTTGAATATTATTCTTTATGGAGGACTCAACATCGATGACAGAGTTAATGACTTGAGATGAGAATATATTTTTCGATTATTTCATGATTTAATTTTATTCATCCTGGTTTCTGAAAATATTGAACAATCAGGTATTATGTAAGGCTTTATCGAAACAATGGGTATTTGGTTTCTCAGAGCAATAGGGAGTATGTAATGTCAATTAAATTCCTGTGAAAGGTGCAGATAAATATTTTCAGTGTGCACTATCCCCCGTCAAGGAGGTATCCAAAACATTATTATGTTCCCATATAAGTAATTTGGATCAAGATATCCCGTGACTTGTAGAATGAGAATATTTATAAGTACAGAAATACAAAGCATTTATACATTGATGATGTGGCTGGAAGCGAAATTATTGTTTTCATAAATTGAGGAAAAGTCGAAAATATTGACAAATTGTGTTATAATGGGGTACACCTAGAAACGGTCTCCGTTCATATATATTCAGGTGCGTTGTTTACTCCAAAATTTAATGAAGGAAAATAGGTCAGTAAGTAAACAAGCAGCATAGGGGTTCTTGGGCATTTCAGAAGTAATTTATTAAAGTTAATATCAAACACAAGTTCTGAATATTTGATGTTATGATCAGAATAATTTTAGTTACGCTTTGTGGTGAATAAATGATTAAAATGGTAAAAGTGGTAACCAGATTAACAATATGATATATATGTATTTATGCGAGTATTACTTGGTTGTTACAAAATATAGGTGACGAGAATATTCATTTGTTTTTCTTTACATAAAGATTAAGCGGAATGGCTCAACAAAATTAAACGAAAGGGCCCAATAGAATTTATCTTTATTATTTTGACAGCGATGGAAAATGAGTGGTTGCCGATAATATGTTATATTGGTCTGATCCGTTAATCTACTATTTTTTAATGAGTCTAATAATCTTTTTCGAAATATCATTTTCTTCGATTACATACCGATATGCCAGTCATGCGAATGTGATAAAACGCGATTTTTGTTGGGTAATATATACTTGGGCTTGTTTTGTCACTTTACAAATATAAGCTGGAACTACTTTATACTGATCAGTGATTTCTAACTGGTGTTTCAAATTAATTAAAATACATTTATTTATAAAATGCTTTAAAACAGATGCGGTTGTGACTTACCCGGATCGTGGACTGAGATTTGCCTGTAGAGTTTCCCAAGCATTAAATATATCCAGCCATTTATCTTAACCTTTTAGCGGATACACGCTCACATACGTGCCACTCACATGCAATGCTGATTTGGTGACCATATTGAATGTCACAGATAATGTCAACATGCACGTGACCCGCCATACTCGTGTGACCTAATTAATAATGTCAGTACACTTTGTAGAAAGGAAGGAAACACTGTGGATCCATGGCTATTGATTGTTTAGTTGTTTATGACTCTTTGTTGATTAAAATACAATAAAAACTGAATTGTTTAAAAGTAAGTCTATAAATTGTCTAAATTGTTAATTACGTTACACGGACCTGTATGTGTTCCAGGTTAGAAAACTTGCCAGCAAATTATGCTTGAGTTGAGTTGAGGTGAGTTGAGGTGAGGTGAGGTGAGTTGAGTTGAGTTGAGTTGAGTTGAGTTGAGTTGAGTTGAGTTGAGGTGAGGTGAGGTGAGGTGAGGTGAGGTGAGGTGAGACTGGGTTTTACGTCGTGCTTGACAATATTTCGCTCATCTGACGACGTGCATGCTTGTGTATGTGTATGTGTATGTGTATGTGCGGCTAAATGTACTAGCCAAGACTGAAGCTGGTTTTATAGTGCTAGCCCACTGAGATACCATGACGCAGTGAAGCATGAATACCCCACTCAGACACATTATACTGACTCCGAGCCAACCAGTCCTTGTTGTACCCATTAATGCCGAGCGCCAGGCAGGGACCAACAAGTACCATATTTTAACGTCTTTTGGTATGACGCGGTCGGGGATCGAACTCGCGACCTTCCGCTCTCCGGGCGGACGTTCTAACCACTACACCACGGAGGCGGTCACTTATGCTTAAGAGGCAAAATAAGGGATTGGGCGTGACGCTGGGTGACTTGGCTGTTGACTGTCATGGTTTGTTTGTTTGTTGTTTAAAGCCGCGCTCAGCAATTTTCCAGCTATTTGGTGGCGATCTGTAAATAGTTGAGTGTGGACCAGACAATGATCAATATCATGAGCATCGATCTACGCAAATAGGAAAGGACATGTGTCAATCAAGTCAGCGAACCTGACCACCCGACCCCCATAGTCGCGTCTAGCAATGGTTTTTGATGACCAATTCCAACCCAGTTCGCATGTCATGGTACTCCGTGGAACATTGTTCATAATATCAATCACTGGATTGTCTGACATTCCGTCTACACGAAAATGATTTATCTTTTTACAAATATATACCACTTTGGTGAAACTCGTGCCCACGAGTAGGGTTCTGAGAAACCTAGAAACGAAAGCAGGGCTAACCTGGATTCGAACCCAAGATCATCGGTTTCTGGCATCCTGCACAGCAGGGGCGATGGGGTAGCCTAGTGGTTAAAGGCCTTAACTCGTCATGTCGAGGATCCGGGTTCGATTCCTCACATGGGCACAATGTGTGAAGCCCATTTCTGATGTCCCCAGCGTTATATTGCTGGAATATTGCTAAAAGCGGCGTAAAACTAACCTCACTCACTCCTGCACAGCAAATTGCGACGCCGTAAACAAATGGGCCACACAGAGTAAAAGTAGTGTGAGTCGTGCAAATGTCTGGCCAATCGGCTGACAGTCGATGGATGACAACCAACGTCGATCTCTTGCAATAGAACTCAATGAAATAACAGCATTCCGCATACCAATGACCTGCATTCTTTGAGCAGTTATCAGTTGAGGAGGCCCCATATGTACTTGTCAACAAAGAAATCAATCGATTCTCCAAGTTATCAAGCTGTAAGAACATACTACTGAAAGTTGAGATTTACTTACGGGTACCCATTAGGGCTGGCTATCGATATAGACCATTGAGATCGATGATCTTTAACTAAATATCGATTAACTATAAATATCGGAGAAGCAACTTCAAGAAAAATGCCCTAAAATGTCCGAAAGAATTGGATATATTTCACACCACTGGTGAGCGGTTACAAGTTTATGCAGGGTGGTTACTAACAAAACAGCGTCCTGAACATACTTTAGAAGCGACCGCCTCCGTGGTGTAGTAGTTAGAGCGTCCGCCCGGAGAGCGGAAGGTCGCGGGTTCGATCCCCGACCGCTTCATACCAAAAGACGTTAAAATATGGTACTTGTTGGTCCCTGCCTGGCGCTCGGCATTAATGGGTACAACAAGGACTGGTTGGCTCGGAGTCAGTATACTGTGTCTGAGTGGGGTATTCATGCTTCACTGCGTCATGGTATCTCAGTGGGCTAGCACTATAAAAACCAGCTTAAGTCTGGGCTAGTACAATCAGCCGCACCTACATATACACACGCATGCACGTCGTCATATGAGCGAAATATTCTCAAGCACGATGTTTAACCCAATTTCACCTCGCCTCACCTACTTATGGTGATACTCGCCCATGATTAAAAACTTTGAGTTGTTTGTGACCAAATTAACACGTTATTCTTACCGATGACACTATTTTCATATCGATTATCTTCGATAATTTATTCTATCGACGATATTTCCGATTATCGATCATTTTAGCCAGCCCTGGTACACATACTGCACGTTTTGCCCGCGCTTGCTTATGTACAGTCAATGTATGGAGCGCCCGATAGGTCAAAATAATTAATACAAATATAATCATGATATGAATATATATGGCCTAGGTTAAAAATCATTGGTGTTGCGATACTATTTTCAATGAGTATACATTGAGGACAATAACAGTGAGTATATACATGTTATCTGTGGGAGATTTAGCAGATAACATGGGGTGGGTGTAGATCCGGATAAACTGTTCTGAGTGATTGAATGTGTTAGCCTCTAGTTACATGGTGACGGCAGGTCAGTTCAAGTGTTTTACTCCCAACAGTGTAGCCGTTTCGTAATTTGTCGTAGAAGAAAACAAAATGCATATTTTTACACTTTAGAATATCTAAGTCAAGATAAATAGCCAATTATGCTACAGTTATATACTTTCAGGTGCAGTGTTGGGCGAGTGTGTGAATATTGCCCAACGCAGCATCAACTACTTTTTGACCCGTGAAGATCCGGGTTAAAATAGGTCTTCAGCAACCCATGCTTGCCACAAAAGGCGACTATGCTTGTCGTAAAATGCGACTAACGGGATCGGGTGGTCAGGCTCGCTGACTTGGTTGACACATGTCATCGGTTCCCAATTACGCAGATCGATGCTTATGCTGTTGATCACTGGATTGTCTGGTCCAGACTCGATTATGTACAGACTGCCGCCATATAGCTGGAATATTGCTGAGTGCGGCGTAAAACTTAACTCACTCACTCAGTCACTCAACTACTTTGTCACTATCCGCTGCGAGCAGAGGTTTTTTAAATACATTCATTTTCAAAGTATAATTCATTCCTAAAAGACGGCCATACTGGATTGTGTGGACGGGCCCACACCTAACAATTATTGGTAATACCATTACCCACAATGTTGCCAAGTTGCAGGGGTTTATCACAAAGTGACGAATTGCCCCCATATCGGTTTAGAAGCGGCTAGGCAGTAATATTTTAAGAAAGAAAACAAAGAAAACCTGAACAGAATCGTCTGTGAAATCAGTTTAGTGTTATGTTGTAATGTCATGAACAATAGGTACGTCATACTGTATTGTTAGAAATAAGGCAGCAATGTGACGTCCTGCGACCCTCGCGCTGTGCGAATCTGACAATTTTATAATACTTGTAATAATATAATACTTATTTGTAAAATATGTGTCTCGGGAAATATCTGGAATATTTGGAAGTTCTAAAGGTGTGACTGAGAAAATATCTCGTCTTCAACGCTAAATATGCGATAAGTCATTTACAATAGTTTGTCCATGTCAGTCGCCATGGACTATGTTTCCATGATAGCACCATGTCCAGATTCCTATGAGCTCTAAGACGTGGCAAACTGAACTCAGTTCTTCAAACACACAGACGGTTTCGTCCTTCCTGCCAAAGGTGGAGTAAATCAATGTAAACTGAATGTACATTACGCCACAGCTTTCATATATAACCTTAGTCTAGTGGTTAAAGCGTTGGCTCGTCACGCCGAAGACCCAGGTTCGATTCCCCACATGGGTACAATGTGTTAAGTCCATTTCTGGTGTCCCTCGCCGTGATATTGCTGGAATATTGCTAAAAGCGGCGTAAAATTAAACTCAGTCAGTCAGTTCATATATTACCTCAGGCAAATATTTGTCACAGTTATGTTGTTGATGCTGAACTGAAGTCCTATCTTTGAGTAACATGCATTTGCTATTTCTGTGCTAATACCGCATCAACCCCCAAACAAAATAAACCCGATCATCCCATGTGGCTAGCACCAGAGTGTAATCCTCTGTAAATGGTTAAAAGGAATGTATGTATTTAAGTTCATAAGTAAGAATCAACAGTTTCTATGGAAATTGTAGTTTCAGCCGGCGCCATCCTTTTTCTCCGCATCCATATTTCCAGACAAATGCAGACAAGCGCCATCAGCATCGCAAATCCTCCAGCCAGGTAAAACATCAGCAGGTAGTTCCCTGTCACGTCCCTGATGGCGCCTGTAAGTAGATTGAACAAAGTTTTCAAGGTATTTTGTTACGGTTAATAATTTGCCGTGACAAAAGGTTTAGTCCCCTTTGAACCAGCAAAATAGAACACAGACAAGTCTAAAATATTCAATAATATGTTGAACAAACAATGAGCAAGCTACAATGAATGACAATACAGGTTTCTAGTACAATGCAATTCTGTCACAAATGTAAAATATTGGGTCACAAATATAAAATATTTAACTCACCAGAGTCTTGACATTTACAGTGACTGACTGACTGAGTTTGGTTTTACACCACTTTTAGCAATATTCCAGCAACATCACGGCGGGGAACACCAGAAATGGGCTTCACACATTGTACCCTTGTGGGGATTCGAACCCGGGTCTTCGGCGTGACGAGCCAACGCTTTAACCACTGGGCTACCCCACCGCCCCGACATTAACAATGAGAGCAGATATACTGATTGAAGGCTGTTTACAATGACAGCAGTTGACAAGACAAGCACGGTCAGTCAATCAGTGTTTAAATCCAGTCATTTGAAAAGTCCCGTGTCGCGGTACTCAACAACCAGCCTTTTATAGCTCTTACACAGTTCTCGAGCATTCTAGCAAAGCTAGGCTCCATCATTATTCTCTCAGAACGTTACGGGATTTTCTCAAATACATGATATGATGAAAGCCGGAAGTCAAAACAAAAGATTGCCAAGGGCAGGTAATTCTGAAGCGCTATCTCAAAAGGCGTACCGCTAAAAATACTATACTATTGCCATTGAACATATATGATGCGAGATGCGAGCCAAAACCCACACTTAAAAAATTAAACATTGTGACCCATAATAACTATCTCTTAATCAATGTGATATTACAAATTACAAAAAAACACACTCTCATAACATACTTGAGACTGGAACCCGTTCAGCAAAGTGATGTTAACGCTGAGGTGATCCTATCTCTAATGCTTGACATAGACTTACGATTACCGCTCTGAATTACTATCACCGCTCTGAGATCGCTTTGTGGAACTTGGAACTGGTTATTTACCTGTGAGGTGAGGTGAGGTGAGGTGAGGTGAGGTGAGGTGAGGTGAGGTGAGGTGAGGTGAGGTGAGGTGAGGTGAGGTGAGGTGAGGTGAGGTGAGATTAAAGTAAAGTCGGGTTTCTCTCTCTCAGAAGCGGCGTCACCTTAATACTACCTGTTATTACATCGATGACGAGCATAACGTTAGGGGTTTAATAGGCGGATTGGGCCAAAGTCGATGAATATACATACACGTTCAGATCGTACATAGAGAATACTACACGAGATCTCATTGCATACGAATTATACGAAATGAGTATCTTTCCTATGCTATCTGACCAAGCGAAAGCGAGGTTAGAAACCATAGGAAGGTCTCGAGTTTCGTAAAATTCGTATGTAATGAGTGTGGTATTCCATTTATTATCCACGTCTTACCTGCATAAAATTGACAAAATAGAATATTTTATTGTTTTTATGCTTTCAAACCGAAACCGGTTTCATAAAGAGGTTGTGGAAGAATTTTGTCATCCAGTCACATCGTTAGAGAGGTCATCGGTTATCCAATCAAATCGTTAGAACCTCAAGTGAACATCGTTACGGCACAGGTCAACGCGATACGACACTTGTGTGACGTACGAGATTAGTATGCAACTACCCATACGTTGACCACGTGGGTAATAAAAATCTGTACACTCTGCCAAAGACACATATGACGAAGAGATTCACTAGCTGAAAACACATATTGTCGCGACATTACATCTACTTTCTTAACGGCATCGAATTCTTGTGTGGCAACCCCAAACACACTCTCCTACCCAGAGTTCCATGCGACCAGCATAGTACCTCTGCCGCAGGCCAGAGAGATGTGACGAAAGGCCGTTCCATATATTGTATATATATCTTTCGTAGCACTTTTATTTTTGACGAGTCAACACATTAAATAAACATATTCGATAGAATGTTTTAGTTTCACTGTGAAAATATCCTCAAACGTCTCACACTATTTTCATTTGCGTAGCGATTCTTTGTTTACATAGGTTGTGCGGTTCCACGTGCTGTCATCGAAACCCTACGGAGAGCAAACGATGTAGCCACTTTTAAATATAAAAAAATGTGTTGTCATCAACCTTACTGTCGCAGTTGTAGACGCGTATCTATATAACAATGTAAAACATTATGCAGAGCGCACCGAAAAACTTGTATTAGGCCAGTCTCTTTTGATTTACAAATATGCGCGTTTATTTACAAACAAGAGAAAAGTCCGGTCAAGAGATATGCAAATTTGCCTGTGGCAGTGATGTTATGCTAAGTCATCACTGCGCCGGAGTGTGCCCCAAACCAAAACAAGATGAGCTGTGACGTAAAATGTTACCATTATGACGTCATGATAAGGTCGACCAACCCGAGGCGACTTTCCTATCTGATACCTATCCGATAACTGTGGGGGTAGCCTAGTGGTTAAAGGGTTAAAAGGTTGGCTCGTCACGCTGAAAATCCGGGTTGGATTCCCCACATTGATACATTGTGTGAAGCCCAATTCTGGTGTCCCCCGTCGTGATATTGCTGAGATATAGCTAGAAGTGGCGTTAAACCATACCCAGTCACTCCGATAACAGAGTATATTACAAGTAATGATAACTTGTCTTAAACGCCTTCCAAAGCTATTTCAGCATTAACTTACCACTGGCAGGTCCACTTGATATGTCGGCGAAACCAGTGATTCCGAACAGATAGGATAATGCAGCGGAATAGGATGCTGGATCAGTCATTTGCTCCACAATGATGGGAGCAGATACTTCCACAACCGCCAGTAGAAATCCATGGCCAACCGCCAGCGTCATCATCACCGCGTATGAACTGAAGTACACAAAGGTAATGCTAAGCAGCCCGCATATAACCAGGGCCATGGAACACGAGATGAGCCCGGGTATTTTAAACACTGTATGCAGCATCCCGCCCACCAGATTCCCGGGTACGTAGGCCACAGTGAGGGCAGAGAGGAGGAAGGATGCAGCTTCCAGGTCGTAGCCCCTGGTTTCAGCAACGTCCACGATGAAGACGATTTCCCCAGTGTAAAAACACCAGATTGGGAGCTGAAGAAGCAGGACGATCACGAACGGTCCATTCTTAAACAGATGAAGATGCAGCTCCTGAACCAAAGATTTTTTCTTCGGATCTTTTTCAGACTTGGTTTTGTATATAGGTTTAGTAAGGCAACGGAGTATCAGTCCCGAAATGCACAAATGGAAGTTCAGGCCTGCTAAGAGGAGGAAGGTGCTCCTCCATCCGTATTCGTCGAGAGCCAGTCTGTTGAGTTGAGGGTACACGAACGCTCCAAGGTTAGAAGTGGCGGTGATGAGGGACACACCCATCCCCTTCCTCACTGTCAGGACTCGACCCACTGCTACGAAGGACGAGAGATAGGAGAAGCAGTGCCCGATGCCTGTACAACAGAAGTAAATCGAGATAATCAGTTTATTTAGAAACGGTATAAGTCTAGTAATGAACGAGTCTTCGTTCTATGCTGCAATTGTATTAAATTCTTTGTCAGTATTTAGTGAAGTCCCTTCCATATACGTACGGGGGCGATGGAGAGCCTAATGGTTAAAGCGTCACACTGAAGGACCAGGATCCTTGGGCAAAGTGTGAGAAGCCCATTTCTGGTAGCTTTACGCCGCTTTCAACAATATTCCAGCAATATCACTGGATATGAGAAATGGACTTCACACATCGCACCCATGTGGTAAATCTAACCGGGTAATCGGCGTGACGAGCGAACGCTTTACCCACCAGACTGCCCAACCGCCCCCCTGTAAGCGTTACCTGTTATAACTCCTACTGTGACGATGAGAACATTCACGCCCGGGGCAAACGTAGCTCCAACGCATCCAGCCATGGATAATATACCACCCAATACCACAGAGTTTCCTGGGCCAATCTTAGCGACTATTGGTCCGCATACTAGAGCTGTAATGAATAAAACAAATACTTCTTTTTGTTATTGAGAATCAAAAGTTGTAAAAGTCAGAGAAGCTTATAAATCACCATTATCACATACACATAATGTATTGTATTGTTACTATTATGCAAGGAGAAAAATTGCAATATTTTGAGAACTAGCTAGGTTACATAAGTCACAAAACTGATAAAAACAAAAGTATAATATAATAATGATAACCAATAAAAGGGTTTCAGAACTATTGATATTTTGTTTTATCTTTAATGAAATAAAAAGTTTAACAGGAACATCTGACATTTGCCTCAGTCGTTGAACGTTATATAACCATAGATTTTGTTAAATGATGGGCCAGAACGCCCTCTTGTCCATCACGTCATTTACCATGACAAGTCAAACGGATTAATATCGCGTACATCAGCATCTGTTCTCAAGCCAATCCCAGATTCGATGAGGCATACTCCTGATCAAACGTCCAATTTCAACTTGGTTCATTCCATCCCATTCTTCTTGCAGGGCTCAAACTTGTTGAGAGTGGTCGGTGATTCTTGAAGGGGCGTATCGCCATCCAAGGATATTCCAGACATGTTCGATGGGTGACAAGTCTGGTCTCAGTGCTGGCCATTGCAAGGTGGTTATGTTCTCCAGTTGTAGAGTGAGTGAGTTTAGTTTTACGCCGCACTCAGCAATATACCAGTTATATGGCGGCGTTCTGTACATCATCGAGTCTGGACCAGACAATCCAGTGATCAACAGCATGAGCATTGATCTGCGCAATTGGGAACCGATGACATGTGTCAACTAAATCAGCGAGCCTGACCACCCGATCCCGTTAGTCGCCGCTTACGACAAGCATGGGTTACTGAAGATCAATTCTAACCCAGATCTTCACGGGTACCAGTTGTTGATACTCAATAGTAATACGAACCCTATGTGTTCTTGCGCTGTCATCGTGAAACACATCACGACGTCCATGATGGCGCGCAAATAGCACCACGTGTGCCTCCAGGATGCTGTACTGTAGTACTGCCCAGTGACACGTCCGTGAAAAACATGTAAAGGTGTTCTGACAGTCACAGCCATACCATTACTGAGCTCGCCTCAAGAAAATCATTATAATTATCTCAAGGCCTGATAACGCCCATCCCATCTACGCCACACTCTGTTGCGCCTGTCAGGGAAGTCCAAAGTAAATCTTGATTTGTCCCGAAACATAACGTCTGCCCATCGACGGCTGGTCAGGTGCTGTTGATCTTGACACCAACGGCGTCATGCAGTAATGTGACAGTCCGTCAGTCGTGGGACAACCCGAGGACGTTGGGCATGTAGGTTCCATAGATCTGTGTAGATCATTACGAATCGTCTGGTTAATCACTTAACACCATTAGGTTTGTGAATAGCACCAGGGACCATATATTAGATTATAATATGGTCTCTGATGGCACTTTGACCATGGTTTCGTAACATAATCGTTCTGATGAAACGACCTTATGCACCAGTTGTCTCCCTTGGTCTACCAGATCGACGTCTGTCATCAACGTTGTTTGGCTGACAATATCTGACGATATCTGGTAATTACTGACTGTGAAACGTTGAGAGCTCGTGTCACAACGCCCTGTCTTGTTCCAGCTTCCAACGTTCAAAATGCACGTCGCCGTTCCGACGTGAGAAACGCCTGGCGTTCCTGACTTGAGATCCAAAACGTTTAATTGAGTTTAAACCAATATCAGGACAACTTTCAGTCCAGTTTTTATCACTGAAGTGTACAGCAGCACACTGACACGTTTCAATGTAGTTTCAAATTGCAATGTTTGCACGAAATTCACAACACGTTGTCAATGAAATAATCATATTCTAAATCTATATCCTATTATCCAACCTGGTTTCCAAATATCCCCCCAAAATGGAATATCCCCAAAGTATTTTTTGTTAAAGTAAATAATGCGAGTCTATTGCTATACAGAATAACATCATGTCTGTTACCCATTTACACATTTAAAGCTGTTTGCCAAAGCTCGACAAATATCTTTCCTTGTGTACTAAATGTGACATATCTCCTTGGGATATGAGAAAATACAGACATGGAAAAATAAAGCAAAACAGAAAAACAAAAAGTTACAAACCTAATAATTGGTTTACTGATTATAGCAACGGTTAATATACGATTAATATGCTATCATGCAAACATTTCAAAATTACAGTTTGAAAGGTATTTTTATCATAAGGTATTATTATCATATATTATATTTTATTGATTAGGATTGTTAAGGTACATGAGCGTAGGATATTGACTAGTGAACTTATATACTTCCTTTCAAACGTTTAGACTCACTAGTGTTAATATAGCCACTTACTTCAGGCAACTGTTCTAAACTACATTTTGCAAAATATTCCATACTGTTTAAAGGTACTGTTTACACATGAACTGATGTACTGTAAAACGTAACGTTGAAAAGATAATTGTCATGAGTTCAATAAATGATAAAAATCAGTGAAAATTGGCGAATTCTTAACAAACCTGTACACCAAAAGTTAGTGGAGTATTGCTTTGATTAATTTTGGAAAACGTAATGAATAGAAACCAATCGGCCAAACAAACGCATACCTCCTGTAAATATAAGGCCGAAACACAAGGACTGCATCAGTGAAGTCTGTGTACGGCTGGCGTCGAAGACATCGAGGATTTCGACAAACACGACTCCAAGACCGACGGCAAAACCGACACTGAGGAATGTGTTGCACATACAGAATGCCAGTACTATTACCTTGGCCAATGACGTCAGTTCCGGTGTCTCAGTCCTGGGAAAGGAAACGGATGATGATCAAGCTTAATTACATCCGACACACAAAGCGTTAGAAGTACTGTTTTAGATATTGAGATATGCTTTTATAATGGGCCACATGTAGAATATACCGGAATGTAATATAACTGGAGTGAGTGAGTGAATGAGTGATCGAGTTTCTTTTTACGCCGCTGTTTAGCAATATTCCAGCAATATCACGGCGGAGGACACCAGAAATGGGCTTCCCACATTGTACCCATGTGGGGAATCGAACGCAAGTCTTCGGCGTGACGAGCGAACGCTTTAACCACTAGGCTACCCCACCACTCCCGCGCTAACTGGAACTTGATTGGGAAATTATATTTAAGCTTAATCAACAACATTTATAAGTTACATATAATAATCACCGCAGACTAGGGCTAGCGAAAAAGGTCGATAATCGGAAATATCGTCGACAGGAAAACGTATTAAAGATTATCGATATCAAAATAGTGTCATCTATAATATCGTACATCAACTTTTGTGATAGAATAAAGTTTTAATCTACTCACACAATACGCAAAGTTCGGTTTAATCAAGGGCTGCTTCTAAAGTAGGTTCTGGGCACTGTTTTGTTATATTCCGTTTGACTCAAAATCGGACCGATGAATTGCAATTTTTATTCTGGTTTCCAAAACTATGACACAGTTCATCAGAGTGGGTCTGTCGATTTCATGTGACTGTGCAAAGTTTGATTGTGTTGCATTTATTAGATTTTGTGTTAGTGAGCAATTCATCGGTCTAAAATGGAGTCAAACGGACTATAGATGTAAACCAGGGCTTAGTTTATCGATTTTCTGACCCGCAGTGGGGGCCTGTGGGGTCATACTAGTTTCAAAATGTTCCAGAACTTACTGAAAAGATGAATGTTTTACTATTTCTACGATTAGACATGACATCCTAATGAAAAAAATGACTTTTTCAAGAGCGATGAATATATTTTACGTAATTTGCATATGTAAACAGCCGATGCCGGGCGTGGTGTTTCTACTTTCCCGATGTTTTCGCGTGCCGTGATAATAGAGAGCCCGGGGTAATAGAGAGTCCCAGTATAGTACTCAATGAAACACTGATCATAGTCAAAACATCAGACCAACTCTGTGATTTTTTTGCAGAATTTATATGGTAAAAAGAAAAAGGTGTTTAACAAACTATCATTAAAATTTTGACAGAGTTCACTATTTGTTACGAGGGAGGGGTGCAAAGAGAGGAATAGCCAGGTGTGCGAGAAAGGATGGAGACAGCACAGCACAGGTAAATGATTCAATAACTTTGTCGGCACCCATGCACGTGCTCCGCGTACACTTGGCTGTTCCTCTCTTTGCAGTCCTCCCTCGTAACAAATAGTGAACTTTGTCAAAGTTTTATGATCAGTGTTTCATTGAGTATTATATGTTTAGTAATTTTCGAGTTAGATTGCAATTCATCGGTCCGCTTTTGAGTCAAACGGACTATTGTAACCCATGCATAGACATGTCAGCACTCACCAGTGGTGTGAAATATATACACAACACGCCAGTAGATACGTTACCCTCCCCTTCTTTTATGAATTACTTACAACTTATCAAAGATTCGTTAGAAGGCATTAGTTTACAAGGAAGCTTAATAACACAGCTTTGTGCAAATCACGATAACAAATTCTCAAATGCATTCATGTTTAGGTGAAAAGCATCTTTTTCAGAAGAGTTAAATTGTCATATTTTCGACCATGCCGAAATATACCAATAACAGTGATATATATGTCCAAAAGAAAGGTTGAAATAAGATTTGTGTTTGAGACAATGATAAACCATTTATAGTCACCATTTTCAACTATTAAAACAAGAAACAACTGTTGTAGAGTGTGTAAAATTGTAAAATAATCAGTCCTATGATTTCAGTCTTTTAAAACATTTTCTGCTGATTTGCATTAGTGAAGACAAGTAAAACGTGTCTTTGATCTTGTGAAAAAGTGTTTAGGAACATCTAAACTTATCTTTGTTAACATTTTTGCTTGCAAAGTAACATTTTTCCATTTTTTGTTTATACAAGTACGAAAAAGATGCCACGATTAACAGCTGAAAAGAGAGAAAGAGCCATTGGGATGGTGTAGATGGGGTCGACATGCAACGCTGTTGCCAACGCCCTCGGATGCCACCGTATCACGGTTATAAGGCTTATTCAGGGCTTCAGAGAGACTGGGGTCACCGTAGACAGAGCAAAAAGTAGACATCCACGCATCACAACGCCAGCTGAACATAGGTACTTCCGTCATTAGGGAAGGAGCGTAACGTTTCTGTTGGCGTTTAGTGGACACTTCTTTCAGACATCTTTTGCTCAAAGTTACTGCTCCGATATTTATCGACAATCGATCGACATTTAGTTAACGATTATCGATCGATATTTAGTTAACGATTATCGATCTCAAATACCTATAACGATAGCCAGCCCTATCGCATACACAATCATAATCCAGTTTTTTAAAAACTTTTAAGAACCGTCTCAAAGTATATATAAGTAACCGTTTGACACATTTCTTACCTTGATGCTCTGTCATGGTCGGATGTTAGAGCAAGCTCCACGTTTTGGGGGGATGCTGCTGCGGCAATTTGATTGGAATCTTTGTCAGATTCAGATGCTTCCTCTTGTACCATTTCCATTTCTGTAAGTAAACAGTTACCTAGCATACAATGGTAGTGTGGCTTACACGGGTAGAAAATAGTTGGCGAAACTGCATTATGAGTGATTCGAGTTTCGAAGGGAGGTAACTCTAAATACAGATGGGGTAGGCTGATAAGTATATATGTATAAGTGTATTTTGCTTTACGACTGTGAGACGTGAGTGAATTGTTGCTCACTTACTAACTGGTTGTTAGAGGGTGACGAATGTTGGCCCACATTTTACTCGAACTACTCAATCACAGGGTATCATCTAATGTTGGACATATGTGAGACAGGAAAGGTTGGCCATTCATTGTCCTAGTTTGTAGAAATACACCGGTTTCTACATACGATAATATTATCATGAACCGAACTGTATGTATATCACTTATTTTTTTTATCTCTACAGAGTGTTTTGTTAGTGGGTCCATATTTTTAAAATGAGTAAAACTACAATTTTTAGCATTATAAAAAAATGTGTTGACTGCAGTTAAGCAAAATTCCTCTTTACAGATTTTTCGGGTGGGCTAACTTCTAATAAAAACTGAGTAAATATACTTTTCTTACTTTTCAAAAATTACAGGCCAATTTAAGTAATGATGGGAACCTTCACTGATGATAATGATAATCACTATAATTGAGTTTGATTATAATGATAGGAACTATATCTATCATATTTCCCATTAGAGCTGACATAACTCTTCACGCACGCATAATTAACACAACATTCCCGAATCCCTTCCATGCCCCAAGCCGCCCATAATTACAGATAATAGTGTCTCCAATAGGACTCTCCAAACTAGATTCGCAATTAACGCATACCCTTTATCTATGACATTAAAGGTCGAAATCTCAACCACTGACATCATAGATATATCCTGTGAACAGTTCCACAACAGGAATACACTCATGGATATTTAATTATATGTTTCATTGTTACATTGAGAGGATCTCCCCACTGGCGTAAGTTGTGTCATATGATGTAATTGTAACCTGATGGATATTGATGTCAAACAAAAAGCAGATAATTTTAGTCAGGTATTATTTATTCTAGTACTATACAATTGTTATATATATGTAATTTATAGGTACTTTACATGGATTATACATATACATATACATATATATATATATATATATAGAATTTTACATTGGTTATATATATTTATATATATATTAGCACTTTACATTGATCATATTGTTTAGTACTTTACATGGATTATATATATTATATATATTAGTACTTTACATGGATCATTTATATTTTTTGTGTTAGTACTTTACATGGATCATATATATTATATATATAAGTACTTTACATGGATTATATATATTAGTACTTTACATGGATTATATATATTAGTACTTTACATGGATTATATATATTTTTTGTGTTAGTACTTTACATGGATTATATATATCATATATATTAGTACTTTACATGGATTATATATATTATATTTATTAGTACTTTACATGGATTATATATATTTTATATATATTAGTACTTTACATGGATTATATATATTATATATATTAGTACTTTACATGGATTATATATATTATATATATTAGTACTTTACATGGATTATATATATTAGTACTTTACATGGATTATATATAATCCATGTAAAAGCACTTGTAGATATATTATTTAATATATATTATCTGCTTCTTTGTTGACATTTTGGACATGTGACTGAATATTTTTATGAAAATATCATGTTCACAGGCAACATATACAAAATGCCTATTTTGCATTCACTTCGTTTTAAACATCATCGTCATGTTTTAAAGTGTACTGCAGCGAAGACCTCAAAGAATAACACTCCCTGCTTATTGAGACTCGAGTCAGCTACAATCAAACAAAGATCTCAAAGAATACAAATGCCTGCTTATTGAGAGTCGAGTCAGCTACAATCAAAAAAAGATCTCAAAGAATACAAATGCCTGCTTATTGAGACTCGAGTCAGCTACAATCAAACAAAGATCTCAAAGAATACAAATGCCTGCTTATTGAGACTCGAGTCAGCTACAATCAAACGAAGATCTCAAAGAATACAAATGCCTGCTTATTGAGACTCGAGTCAACTACAATCAAACAAAGATCTCAAAGAATACAAATGCCTGCTTATTGAGACTCGAGTCAGCTACAATCAAACAAAGATCTCAAAGAATACAAATGCCTGCTTATTGAGACTCGAGTCAGCTACAATCAAACGAAGATCTCAAAGAATACAAATGCCTGCTTATTGAGACTCGAGACAGCTACAATCAAACAAAGATCTCAAAGAATACAAATGCCTGCTTATTGAAACTCGAGTCAGCTACAATCAAACAAAGATCTCAAGGAATACAAATGCCTGCTTATTGAGACTCGAGTCAACTACAATCAAACGAAGATCTCAAAGAATACAAATGCCTGCTTATTGAGACTCGAGACAGCTACAATCAAACAAAGATCTCAAAGAATATATATGCCTGCTTATTGAGAGTCGAGTCAGCTACAATCAAACGAAGATCTCAAAGAATACAAATGCCTGCTTATTGAGACTCGAGTCAGCTACAATCAAACGAAGATCTCAAAGAATACAAATGCCTGCTTATTGAGACTCGAGTCAGCTACAATCAAACAAAGGCCTCAAAGAATAAAAATGCCTGCTTATTGAGACTCGAGTCCGATACAATCACACGAAGAACTCAAAGAATAAAATTGCCTGCTTATTGAGACCCAAGTCCACTACAGTCAAACGAAGGCCTCAAACAATGATAATGCATGCTTATTGAGAAATTAGCAGAAATACTCACTGGCTGTTACAGAGATGGCATCAGTGTGAGGGTAATCCCGAGTAACAGCAAGAAGCCAGAGAGGGAACGCTTGGTCCCCACAGCTGGTTCAGAGTTGAGTAAACAGTGTTGACATGCACATTAGGTTGATTGTCTCACAGTTGGATGTATGCCAATAAATCAACACCATAACCGAACACCCCTATATCAAAGTGGTATCAACCTGTTTCGTCTAATTTTTAAAACAGGTAAACAGTAGCAATTAGACGACCCAGGCATAGTCAGGGTTGAGTGACTGCTTGTTAGACGAATTAGGCATGTGGACCAGTCCATTTCAAACTTAACAGGGGTGTTACCACAAAATAAGAACAAAGACAACATAAATATATTTCATCGTACATTTTTCACCTCAGTTGTAGACTGTTCCCTCTTGATGAGCTGAATGAAATCAAATATATTCGGGTGGCATGGGGTGAGGGAGTTGATCTTGTTTTGCCAACCTTCAATGTTGTTGTTTGTTCTGTGGCCATCATTAGCAAAGTGGTTCCAAGTCAGTTACACGAGAATACACGAGAAGATACACGTGGCCCTGGATCTCTGCATGTAGGGCGTAGAGTTGTGCATGCAGGTTTGGGAGGAAAGACAACTGAACTATTGCATTCGCCATAATTAATCAAAGTACTGGTCAAGTCATGGTTTTTATACTGAACGTAGTCTGTTAGCTTTTCATGTTCGTCTATACTCCAACTAGAATCTCCATGCATTTAGTTAATAAAATTAACTTGCATTTCCTGATTAGAAGAATAACTTTCATTAATCTTATTACTAAGTGTTTGAAAATAAACTTACTGCTCGTAATCTCTTTATTGTCAGATCACTTGGACATATCTTAATTGATAAACCCCTTCAGTTAATCTAATCTCATTAGTAAGCATCTTGAGACCCCCAAGATCTCCAATAGCCACTCCCAAACATATTTTACGGGTCAGTGACCCATGGAGAAATCACTCATGCGTGGTTAGACAATCCAGGTATAGTCAGACGAACCAGGTTGTAATCATCAAAGTGAACCCGAGCGCACAGTTGTGACCTTCGCCTACAATACTGGACGTCATACAACTGTGTGAATCTACCGATCAATTTCACTTATGTCGTCCCGGCATCATCGTACAGCATAACACACGATAAGAGAAGAGAAATTAATGGCTTTTCCTGCTAACATAAAACTTCAGCACCAAGAATAACCACTGTCTTTGTCAAAACAGATTCCATTGGATGTATAAGTGACAGTAGACGTGCACGTTATGACAATGTAGATTACCTAACATCAACGATCATGGTAATTGGTAGCTAAAGGTTGTTTCGATAAATATTAAATTTCTGTAATGGGTTGTAAGGGAGAAAGTGGTATAAATCTAACTGTAACCGATTGAATTGGTTACATGCTGTCTGGATATCCTACCGTCCCTAAACAATCAGTATTGATGACAGAACGGCATTGAGCAGTACATTAAAATCATGTTTAATAAGAGGATAAGCCTCTTCTTCTCTCTCTATGTAAACTCAGTGTAAACTCCATGAGAGACAGAGAGGGGTGGTGGGGGGTGAAAGAGGGAATAGTGGGCGCCATCAATACAATAACCATGTGTGTCTAGCAACATAGACACGTCACGTTAGTGGTTTAAACTATGTTTTAAGATTTGTGTTCAATCCCAGAGAGGTGTAGAACATTATGTAATTTATAGATTATCCTCTGCGGCGTCTCGGTAATCTGATTCTCATGTTCCACATCGTCATGGCAACGACCGTATCTCTTCGTCTGTCCTTTGTGGTTAATTACTACTTATTAACATCAGCACAGTTAGTCAACAGCTGCCACAAAGAGGTCAGATAGAGGTCAACCGACCCAGAAAACGACCTCCAAGACACTTACTGCAATGACTGTGTTTGTCTGGTACTTAGACTAACAACTAGTCTCTGAAATGAACATATTTTACTTAAAAAAGGTCATAGTAAAAAAAATATAATATAATGAAAAGGAGCCCTGAGACTTTCTTCATTTTCAGAAAGCTGAGGAAATCTAGACTTGCCACAGTTTCTAGACTTGTGTGGGCTTTCTTGGATATATTTACGTCAGGGTCTGTACGACAGACTATCTGGTACTGAAAGCACCTGTTTGTACAGCCGCGAGGAGGATACGCCAGCT